TCAGGCAGAGTTTTCTGCGAGGGCAAGAAAGGCACAGCCAAGGATTTGAAAGGAAAACAACACAAAAGCTGTAAAGTGCTAATTTGTGTTCCTAAAGCGTGTACTCCAGGTATTCCCTTGTCTGCTCTTTAGACAATATTGATGGTTTGCTCTTTGCAACCAGATCTGCAGCCAGGAGTGTAATGGGCAGGGCTTGGTACTTGAATGTTTTAATTAGATATGAAAACAGTTAAGGGAAGGACTGTTCTTACATCCACAGGCCTCAGCACAGATAGAAAAAGGGGCAAACCCTTCCCATGATGTCTATTAAGTTGTTTTGGAAGCTTGACAGATGACAGGACAGCTCAACTGGAACACTGCAGAGATCATCTGAAGAGATGCAGAAGACAGTGTAGGACAATTATGAATCCTTCATAATTGCTTATTATGGCAAAGAAAGCCCCAAGGGGGCAGCTGCTGCTCAGACACAGGCTCCAGTTCTCTGGAGGAACAAATATCCACTTGGCAGCACATCCACAGGGGGGGATGCCAGAGAGCCAACTTGCAGAGAAGGGCTGGGGCAGATGATGACAGAGGAAATGGCTTGCACTGAAGTTTTGGGAGGATGGACACAAGAGATGAGGTTCAGCCAACCCTGGGTCTGGACTTGAACCTTCTCCAGGCAGGTAGAACCACTATGAAGGGCAGAAACAGGACACTGTGAACAAGAGAAAAAGCTTGATCCAGGAGCAAGAAGGACAGATGCCAACAGACAGGGGGCATTCATGCCTAGTGGGACACAGACTGGAGAATGATCACTGCTTTTGGTGACATGGCATGTTTCAGGTCCCTTTTTTTGTCACTGAGAACACCACAGAAACAACCCAAACCTTTCCCTCCAACCCCCAAGCATTCTCCAGCTGTAACCAGCTTCATGTCTCTTCAGAGTGCCCACAGAACATGGCCCAGCAGCAGTTGCTGAAGCAGCCAAACTCAAGATGCAGGAGTTGACAAACAGTTCCAGTCTTCTGGTACAGCTGGGGGTAGGGACCTTTTGGGGAGAACTCTCTGCCCTACAGTACATGGAAAGGTGACCATTAACATCTTTGTTTTCAGAGCATCCCAGTTCAGAGGTCATGAGGAAGTGTCTCTAATGTCCTTGGGCTCACCTCAAAGTACTTCACCAGATGGCAGCTCTGAAGCAAACCAGTTCTCTTCCTTTCCTCCAACCCCATCCTCTTGCAACAATGCACTGATACATACCCAAGGGGAGCCTGACATTTATTAATCACTTCAAACGTTGACACCAGAGAATGTGGGTAGTATTGCTTTGGAAGTTTGTCATACTTGCTTCCTAAGCAATCTAGAAAGTGCTAAGCAGTCCATGTTTTCACCAACACTCCTTCATTTACACAGAGCAACATCTATTTCCACACACAGCGTGTCCACAGTCTTTCTGAAGGCAACAAAATAAGTCTCAGACCAACAAAACTATTCAGGTATAACTCCAATTTTAATTGTCAAGCTAACTTCTAGCTCCTACATTCAATGCAAAGATCAAAAACTACAAGTTTGAGAGCAGAAGTTTATTCCATCTCCAGTTTCTGATCGTTTTTGGCAGCTGTCAAAAGATCACTTCCCAAATCCACACGTTTCAGAAGCTTTTGACTGCCTTGGGGTTCCAGCTGAACATCATGGACTCCCTTCATAGCTATCAACATCTTTCAAACCCAGTTCTTTGGCAACAGTTACACAGAGCATTGTGCGTATACAAAGAGCTTGTCATAAAACTTCTTTTACATTCTAATTGTCTGAACCTTCACAGAAGTATTAAAGTGCTCAATCATCTCTGAACAAACTCGCCTCCCCTGGTTAGCCTACTTCCTGGAAAAGCCTGCACTTTGGTCAGCAAAACCAGAAGCAAACAAGAAGAGAAAAGGTACTTGTATGGGAAAATAAAAATAAACCCTCTGCAGGATCATTTCAGTCCTTCTCACGTGTCCCTTCTTACCCATCCATTGAGACGTGGGGCCAAATGTCCAACCAGTCTAAGTCCAGGTTGTGCTGGTTTCCCAGCAGTTGATTCTTTGGCCCCTCAATGTCTATTGAAAGAAAACCCTGTGCAACAGGATCCTACTGATGCTACAAAGAAAATAGGAACACTGAGGCCACTCTGGTAAAGCAACAGCAACTAAAGAGAGAAATGAGTGTTGTGATGGATGTTGAACCCTTCCAAGCCAACTGGACTTCAAATGATCTCAGCCACATCTGTCACTAGCTTAAATGGATGCTTTCTAGCAGGATTTACACGGGGACATTTTCAGTCCTTCAGAGCTGGGGGATGGAGGGTGCACCTCAAAACTACTTCCTCTGGCAAGACCTCCGTGCCAGTTCACCCCACTGTGCTCTGTGCTGGAGGGAATCCCACCCAGAGCCTCTGCTCTTCCTGAAAGCCACATTCCCTTGCACATGTCCTCTCCTTTCTCCAGCACAAGTCCAGCCAGCCCACAGGGTGACTCCTGCCTGCCAGGAGCCGAGACACCAGAAACACAACCCCAGGACACGGGCGTTTAACAGCTTAACCACGGAGTGATGCTTTTCATTCTACCTTTGGGTAAATCTTCTGACACCCGTGGGAAAAGCATGTTATTTAAGCATCATCAGACCTTTGCACTCCCTGTCTTACAACAGGTCCTGAGCTGTTTGCTGTCACCTGCTCTTTTTCTGTTGACTGAAGATCAGACCTGCTTTTGCCACCTCCGCCTTCACGCTGCCCCCAGGTCCTGTTGACTCTTTGTTCTCTTCTTTCCACACGCAACATTTGAGGAACAGCTATGAGTGAGCTCCCCACAGAAGTGACTCAAAAAGCCAGGAAATACTGTCAACACACAGTTTTAGACCTGCTGTCATGCCACTTCCCAGCTGTGGCAGGAGTTACCCTCTGCTGAGGGCCCAAAGCAGGGCGTTACCTGCTTGGATGCTCTGGGGTGGTCAGCAGGGGTTTGGTGCTACATGAAGGTCAGGCTTCCAAGGTTGCTTGACTTGCTGAGGGCTTTCTCCCCCCCACCCCAGGACTGTGCAGGGATAATAAAAGCCACCTCCACTTTCTTGGGAATACTGCTCTCCTCCATCAGGTATGGACATGAAGATGAAGGGTTTCGTAAGAAAAGAAAACCATAGGTTTTCATACATGTTTTAGAGCCACAGGCAGCTACTTCAAGATGAAACACCATCTGATATTTAGTGCAAATACACCAAATCTTCAGTACCTAGAGTCTGGCTTGGCTTCAGCACAGGAGCTTTTGACTCAATGCCTTCCTCTCTCCTTACAGAGTTGGTTTTCCTCCTCCAGCAGAGGAACATTCCATCAGTTTGGGCACATGCTGCTAAAAACCTGGCACGGTTTAGTGGGCAAGCAACACTTTTCTGTGCTAAAAATGTATTTGCATTTCATTTTAGATGACTCTTCTCCCCTGGTTTCTCCTGTTTGGCAAGTTCATTACTTTCAGAGGTCCACATTTTCCTTAACACTTTACCCTGTGATCTGGAGTGTGCAGCAAAGGACAAGCACTGAGCTAAAGGGGCAGCTTGTTTCACAGTACTCCAAGTAAGAAAACTGACCATAGTACAAGCAAAATTAAATAAACTGAAACTTAAAAGACAGCAGAAATTAGATTCATCCAGAAATATAATATAATGTCTGGGAGTGGGGAAAACTGGAGATTAGCTACATAAACAGAACCAATGAAATGACCAACAAATATTGATTAGGCGAAGGAGGAAAACTTTCATGGCATGCTGTACATTAAAATTAAATGCAAAATTCACACATGTTGGAGCATCATGACAGGATTATGAAGGTCTCAAGCCATGGGAAGAAGAAAGCAAAGGAACACCTTGAAGAAGGCAAAGGAACACCTTGAAGAAAGCAAAGGAACACCTTGAAGAAAGCAACACATGAACAAAAACAGTAACTGAGCAGCTTCAGAAGGAAAAAGAAAAAGCAGCACTGAAGCAGAGAACAAGAATAGGGTCAGGACATCACAGGTAACACTGAGTGCACAAAACACTTTTGATATCTTGAAAGAATCAGGCCTATTTGTATTCTATGCAAAATATATACACAAATCCATATGTATATATGTACACATAGGCACTACTGTACATATGTATATGCAATCATCAACACAACTGCCCCCTGACAGGTTTCTGACTCTGGGTGCAAGCAAGAAGGGTGCAGTTGTGCAAAGCTACACTTCCTGTATTTCATTACTGAGAAGAAATGGGAGAAAGATCCAAAATAATTCCCAGATGTGGTTTCATCAACATCACCCCACAGCCCAACCTCTGAACGTTTCCAGCTCGTTTGTAGGAACTGAATATTCACCCAAAGCTGTGGATTCTATTGGTACAAATCAGATCTGTTTCCAACCCTGAGGAGATGGCCAGACAGCTCTCCTGCCCATCAGTGGCTTCACATCAGGCCACCCCACACAGAATACCAATTTGGGAATGCTGGATGCATGGGAAAGGGAATTCCAAGGCCAGAACAGGAGTGTCATTCCGTGGGAGAAGGGTCAGTTGCTGTCCTCGTAGTGTTTGGGAAGAAAACGTGAACGTGGTGCATAAGAAAAAAAACCACCCCAAAACCAAAACACAACAAAACATTTCCCCCCCCCACCCCTCAAACAACGGAACACGTGACAACTCTGAGAAGGCATGCTCCATGCTGAGCTTTGGGGTTTCCAGTTTTGGGATGTGGGAAGCAGCATTTCCATGGAGCTTGCTTGTCTCGTGGCTCCAAAGAGCAGCGGCCTCCCGAGTCCAAGGCTGGTTTGGTCTGACACTTCAGTGCTCAATTGGGCTTTGATATGTCTGCATTACCAATGCCATAGGAGAGCAGAAAGAGAGTGGAGAGAAAAAAAAATAAAGAACTGCAAATAGATTGGTTTATGCCTCAGCAAAGCCACCTTCCCACTCCGAGGGAGCTGCCCTCGCTGCTCAGTGTCAGAGGAGCCTGTTTAATGCTCTGCATCCATAGCATCCAAGTACTTGGCTTCAATGATCTTAGGGAGCAGGTTATACCTAAGAAGAAACCAGAGAGAGGGAATTAGTGCTTGTTGTAACCTCATGCAACATCTCATCTGTCCCAGGACTCTCAGCTGAGTTTGTCCATGGCCATGCAGCACAACAGATTCACTCAGATGAAGGGGAGAGGGAGTGGGAAGTAAAACCAACCAACCCTGCAAGCAAAGAGGAAAGAGAACTTCCTCATCCTCAGATGAGAAAAGTCCCTTTCCTAGAGCACTGTCATCATGAAGTCTTCAAGATGCCAAAAATGTACCACCTCACCCAGCCCACAGCTCTGCTGCTGGTTGGAGCTGAGGCAGCAGCCAAAGCTTCCTGACAGTTTGCTAGCAGGTGGGTGGCTTTGCCAAGAATCCCCATCTACTTCCAGTATCTACTTTTGTTACTGCTTTCCCTGTGTTTTCCCAACACAAAAGCCCCAGTTGATGCAGCCTCACAGTCACAGAAGCACAGAATGGTTGGGGTTGGAAAGGACCTTAGGAGGTCATCGTGTCCAACCCCCCTGCCAGAGCAGGGCAACACTGTCCACACCAAGCATGGAGAGATCACAGGAGAAACCCTCCTCTAAACTGACAGGCCTGGCTCACAGAACTGCATACGTGGGCTATTTATCTTGCACCTCCACAGTTCTGCTCATACCCCAGGCCACTCCTTTCAGCTCTCCCACAAAGAAGTTTTAACAGACATTTCAGAAGCTTTGGTCTTTAGGGAAGCACCAAACACATCATCAAGAACAACATAAGGAGGACATGGAGCTCCTGGAGAATGTTCAGAGGAGGCCACAAAGATGCTCAGAGGGCTGGAGCAGCTCTGCTCTGGGGACAGGCTGGGAGAGCTGGGGGGTTCAGCCTGGAGAAGAGAAGGCTCCAGGGAGACCTTAGAGCACCTTCCAGTGCCTGAAGGGGCTCCAGGCAAGCTAGGGAGGGGCTTGGGACAAGGGCAGGGAGGGGGGGGATAAAGGGGAATGGATTAAAAGTGGAAGAGGGGAGATTTAGGTTAGACATCAGGAAGAAATTCTTGGCTGTGAGGGTGGTGAGACCCTGGCCCAGGTTGCCCGGAGAAGCTGTGGCTGCCCCATCCCTGGCAGTGTTGAAGGGCAGGGTGGATGGGGCTTGGAGCAACCTGGGCTGGTGGGAGGGGTCCCTGCCCATGCAGGGGTTGGAACTGGATGGTCCCTTCCAACCCAAACCATTCTATGATTCTATGACTTGAAAGCACAGTAAGAGGCTAAGCAGGGATGTGACATTCATTTCTCCATCCCCACCTGGAGCCTGGTTTCCACTGGATCATGGAGACACTAATTCCCTTACTTTTGTTTTCTATTTGTTTGTTTGCAAGAGCAACCTCATGACTCAATGCATTTAGATGAGCAAGGCAAGGCACTGTAACAGTGTAACAATGCACCATGAAAGTTGCTCTCATTAAATCCTTCTGCATATTTAGTTTGACACTTGTCTTTGCTTAACAAGGAAGCTGTTCTTCAGCTGTTAAAATAGGGCACAGAGCATTAGAAGCCAGTTTAAGACCTGGAAGTGCCTTTTCAATAGAGATCCCAAACAGCACTATTCTGAAGCACCAGAAACTGCTTAGTCTGCCATGAAATAAAATGCATGAGAATCATAGAAACACAGATAAACATGACAGAGAACTTGGAATGAAGACTACTCCTTTCTGAGGACCTTAACCCTCTTTCTCCCCAGAGCAGGAATAGATTGTATCCAGAAACTAGTCACCTCAAAGCTCTGAATCCAAGCCAAGTACTGGGGATACCCAACAAGATCACTTTTTCTCCCAACACGCTGCTCTCCACTGCAACAAGAAGCCACTGAAGTTCTTGATCTTTCACATTAACACACCATGAATGGAAAAAAGATGGTCCTTCACCACTGACAATGCAAATCACGTGTCTGATGCTGTCAGACAGATGGAAACATAGCTTTGAGACAGACAACATGGCTGGTTTTCTGGGTGGGACACTTAACCGTGACTCACTCATCTGGGTTTGATTCTTGACTTTGACCCCTGGCTACTCTCCCATCTCCTCTTCCTTCCTTCACTTCTTAAAAAAAAATAAAAATAGATATAGCTATTTCTTCAACTCTGTCTCATCTATTTAGAGTGCCAAAGCTTTGTGAGAAAGTCATTGTTAACTACAAGGCTTATGTTTCGTGGTGCTGTCTTATCATCTGGAGTCCACAGAAACAAGATGAAGGCAAAAGGTGTAAGAACAAGGAAAACCAAGGGGAAACTTCTGTGGGGTGCCAGGTAGCACCATCTTCCCCTCAGCAGCAGGGCTGGTTATCCAGCTACTAGAAAAAAGCTGCCCTGGAAGAAGAAATGAGTTACCAACAGAGCTAGTGTAAGATGACAGTATCTTATTGACTCAAAAGAAGATAAAAGAAGATATATCTGCACTATTACATGACCTCACTTATTAGAAAATGGGGTTCTTTGAAAGCCCCACATTTCTTACACCATGTCCAACACTCAACTGTTTGGCAAAGAGTGTCCCACCTTTTCTTTTCTGTAGGCAGCTGCTTCTGTGCAGACCTACAATTCCCTCAAGAGTCACCCATCCAGAACTGCACACAGTTGAAGTACTCACCAGCCACTTAACCAGTCACCCAAGGTGATGCCTGTGTGAAGGCTGGGTGAGACACTCTTCTGATTCTGTCTCAAGGCTTCAGGATATTGTGGGGTTGTCCCAGTTTTAAAGATGCATTTCAAAACCAAACGTGGTCAGTTTGACCTGACTTATCATTTGCACTGGTATTCAGCAGTGCAGGAGGTTTCTAAGGTCCCCACAGCACTAAACCAAAGAGAAGGATTCCTCTTAAGAGACGTTTCTAGTTCTACTCTGAGCACAGGCCTTAGAAAATCAAATTGCAAAGCCATAAAGGACATGATCAAATGCCTAGAGGGAAGGCTCAGCATGCAACTTCTCAGGAAGACCAGGCACCTCTCAAACTGCACAGGAAGACTTATTTGCCTCTCTACTGGCTGTAAGAAAAGTACCTGCTAGCCCAGAACCCCTTGCACAACACCCAGCATCAGTGAAATCACAGGCTCTCTGCACTATTGCACCTCAAGCCTGAGGAGCTGGTGAAGAAGGGGAGGGACTGTTTACAAGGGCATGAAGTGATAGGAGAAAGGCCAATGGTCTTTAATCTAAATCTACCCTGCTCTAGTTTGACATGAGGAAGTTCTTTAGAAAGAGGGTGGTGAAGCACTGGAACAGGTTGCCCAGAGAGGTGGTGGAGGCCCCATCCCTGGAAACATTCAAGGTCAGGATTGACCAAGCTCTGAGCAACCTGATCTAATTAAAAAGGTCTCTGCTCACTGCAGGGGGGCTGGACTAGATGACCTTTAACGTTCCCTTCCAACTCTACTCATTCTATGATTCCATTAGATGAAAAGGTCACCATCATCCACTTCCAGGATCTGGCTACTCAGGAAAGTACCAGATGCCCCTCTAGATCACTCAGACTTCCTGCAGTCCCAGCCTGAAGACAAAAGGCACAAGAGACAGGAAAAAAGACAGCCAAGCTTTGTCCAGAAGAGCTTCCTACCTGATAGGGATCATCCCTATCATGATGAGTGGGAAGATCATCTTCATGTAGGGCAGTGGTGACATGCCAAAGCCACATAGGATGAGGAGCTGCAGGACCTGCAAGCCTGTGAAGTAGTGGATCTTCCTCTGGGGCACTCTGCGGATGTAATGTGTCGGAGGATAAGCAGTCTGGAAGAGAAGAATGACATGTTAGATATGCAGCTACCTGGGCTTGTGAGTGCAGGACATGGCAGAGGCTTTTGGACACAGGAGTTTTAAGGAACTCAATTTAAACACACACAATGTGCATCAACAGCAGAGTTCTCAACAGGTTCAACACCTCAACGCAGGATCCATAGGGTTAAAGCAGGTGCCTTAAGCCACAGCATTGGCAGCAACACGTAGATGATGACTGGGCACTAGAAACCAGGAGAAGAAAAGACACACTAAGTCTCCCTTTGGGAGCATCTGGAGTACAATAAAGTATCTTGGTAAATACAGTAATGATAATCTCTGAGTAGGATCATCAGAGCTTTGCAACAACATGTGTGGGGGTGTGCAAGGGGGTAATAGTACACTTCCCATTCCCTGGAAGTGTTCAAGAGCAGCTTGGATAGGGGTTGGAGAAACATGGCCTGGTGGGAGGTGTCCCTGCCCATGCAGGGGGGTTGGATCTAGATGGTCTTTAAGGTCCCTTACGACCCAAACCAGTGTGGGATTCTATGGTAAGCAGGTGCATTTGGCTGGTGTTACTGCCAGATGGTTTCTCCACCTGAATTCTGTCCTCTGCTGATCTGACTCCACACTTGCCCTTGGTGGTCCCATTTCTTGGTTTAACCTTGACAAGGGAAGATGAGGAAATGAGACTGGGGAGGTGTAGAAAGAGGCTGTAAGCAAGCTGCAGTGATTAACTCATAAACCACTCATTTTTGAGAAAGAAGAGAAAAAAGTAACACAAACAGGCTCAACGTTGCTCGCGGTTTCTTCTGACAGTGACTTGCTCGTGTCTGAGCACAGGCTTTGACTCACTGTCTATACATCAATGACAAGTATGAGCGACTGTCTGCTGGCACTGGTACAGCCTCCACGGATTTCAGATTGTGCCATGACTCACTAAAAGGTTTCCAGAAAAGGGAGATCTCCATATTTGAGAAGACTTTGATTTTTCCCAAAGCGAAGCTTGGAAAATTCCACAGATAAATCAGCACTAAACCCAGCAGTAATATTCCACATACACCAGTAACCATTCAATCCTCATGCAAAAAAATTGACATGACAAATAGAAGCTTTACCCGGATTTCAAGAGTTTTAACCTCTGGGATGTAAAATTAGAGGTCAAGACAGATTAGCAGAGATGCAGAACCAAATGGTGGGCTCATTAAGTCCTTGTTGCATAAGAGAAGGTGAGCTGGAGACTCCTTACAACTCCCAGGTACCTTCTTAGCAACTGTAACAGAGATGGTTTGAAAGCAAATTTTCCACATATCTTTTCAGCCCACATCAGAGGGGTTTCAAAACTGCAAGGCATTTTGTTTTGAGTTTAAAACCTTCTCTCGTGGTATTTGACACAAGTCACAATGAAATCACCAATCCTGGGGCTTTCTTGGGGAAAGCGAAGGTTGTAATTTACTCATTATCATGTGCTTTCTAGTACTTTTTAATGATTATTTTTTAAATGCACGGCCCCTGCAGCTGGCACTCATCACAGTGGGTTTTTAAAACTTATGAAAAACCTACATTCTGCTTTTTTTTTTTTTTAAAAAAAAAAAACATTGTTTGAAGGTATTTTGGATTCGCACTCTACACAGTTTAAGGGGCACCTTCACTGGTAGCAGCTATCCTGGCTTCTCTCACACACTTGTCTTTGCCTCTGGAGAACTGGCCTCCAGAGCAATTCTTAGATTGAAAAGGGAAGGATCACATCCAACACAATGCCCTGAACAAGAAATCTCCAACTCTTTTGTGGCAGGGAAATGCAGAAAGCCATTCATTTGGAATTTGAAAGGCAGAGGGGATGCAGCACAGTTCTACGAACAATTCAGCCACCACCTTTTTTTTTAACCCAACCTTGCCACTGCTGTTGCTTGACACTGCACTATCCTCCCAACTCATCTGACTGCTTTTTTTGTGTACCTGTTCTTTGAGCAGGAGAGCCACCCTTTCAAAGAGTTGGTTCCCATCAATGGAGGTAAATGCGATGTAGAGGAAGAGACCATAGAGGACCGGCTTTGGGATCCACTGGAGAGGGAAAGGGAGGAGGAGAAGCGAGAGGCCAACGAAGAAGTTTGCTACTAGACTTGTCAGTCGTGTCTCCTTCACGCTCACAATCCTGAAAGCAAGAAAACAGGGGTTTAGGGGAGTGGGATTCTATCCCAGTATCCGTGTCAGCTCCCGGCTGGGGCTCACCGCTCCGCGCTGCTGCAGGACACGTGCCGCTCGGGAAAGGGAAACTCATCTCCACTGCTCTGAGATCAGCACTTCTGGCCCCGTGCTGACATGGAGAAGGCAGAGCTCTGCTGGATCCAGGCCAGGCACTTAATCCACAGCTCAAACAGAGCAGCTGGAAAACCGCCAAATTCCCCTTCTGCAAAGCTCCGTAGATCCTATCCTGAACTAAATTGCCCTCTAAACTAATTCTGCTCAGCACATTTGAAAAACAAAACAAAAAACACAACAAAACCAACAACCACTACATAAAAACAACCCAAACCAAAACCACAACAACCAACAGAAACCCAAACCAGGCAGGAACCCTCTTTCTGGGCAGTAATGCTTTCCTTGATTTAGCCAGCACATCTGTAATTGGCGTCGATCCAAAAGAGAACTCGTTGGCTTCTACAGGAACTAGTGAAGCTCTTGTAACAAAACCTGTCTGCACCCTCCTGACTGCCAGGCAGCATCTTGGATGTCTGCAAGGAGCTCCTTGTTTACATGGAAGGGAAAGCTGAGAGGGAGCTGGAAACTTAATTCTGCTGTGGATAACTGCAGTTGTGCTGCAAATTGCCTATTACCATGCAAAGCAGATAATTAATTCATGCAAATTTTCCAGAGCTGACAGGCTACAGATTGATTTGGTTTTTTTATTGGGGATGGGGGGGAAAGCCAACCTGACAGGAAAGCTTGCAGCAACTTTCAGAGGCTGCTCAGGGGGATGAGAGGAGGTTGCTTTGTTTTCACTTCAACTACACTTGTGATCAGCTCCTAGTTTGGAAAAAAAAAGAGACCAGAACAATAGGAGGAAAGGAAACCCTCATCTTTCAAGACTGCTTACAGATGGAGAAAAGGAGGATTGTTACTCTGACTTTTTTTGAGATGATAAGTCCACCAATTCAGTGGATAAACTAGTGGATATCCTATTACCAGGATAAACTCTTGTCTGTAGGTTGTTCTGGTCTCATCCAGTGGCATCATTCCCTGGATGTCAGACCTTGTATTCCAAATGAACCCTCTACTCAAAATACTCGGAGGATTAACACAAGAGCCAGCCATGAGATCTACCAAAACACATTTCCCTCTTTGCATATTCACTGCTGGAACTTGGTAACCTCTTCTGTCCTAAAGAAGATTGCTTCCCACTGAATTCTTTCAGTGTAAAGTTTCTGAGAGTCTTGCTTATAAGTAAGGTCAGGTTGATCTGCAAATCAACACATTCAAGAGCAAAATGAAGCTGTGGGGATGAAGGAGCCTTCCACTCCTGTATTTTGAGAGAGGGAAAGGGTAACAGCTCAAGGCTTGATCTCAGGATTTGGAAAATGTGGCAGAATTAACATGGATGGTCATGAGACCTAAGGAACAGCAGGTATCACAAACAGTACACAAAGTCTTGAAGACAACACTAGAATTCCTTGATAAATAATGGGGCAGGTTGTACATACTATCCAGGATTACCAGGAGAGGATGCTTAGAAGGGACACAGAAGGTGTTAAACCTCTAAGTAACCTGCTCTCCTCTGGCTAGGGTTAACCAGCAGGGACTACAGCCTTCCTCCTTCCACACAGATACTGTTCAGATCCTCTTGTCAGTCTCCCAGATCAAGAGATCCCTGCCAATGCAGAAGCTGAGGTGGGGAAGAGTAGAGCACTTCACTCTGTTACCTGCAGACTGCTCTTGCCAGCTCTGGAGGAACAGGGACATCACCTGGGTTGTTATCATTTGACCCCTTTCATCACCTCCAGGTCTGGTTCAAGCCTCAGAGATGGCAGAGCCAAACAGCTTGAAGTGCAACTGCAAGTGCTAATTCAGGGGAATTGGACAGTCTGATAAGCATGTGTTCAGAATCTGGTTTGGCCCTTGAGGAAACAGCTCCAGAGGTCCTGTGCTGTTATGGAAATGAAGTAATTAATGGAGATTAAAGAGCATAATCCAGGCTCATTTCCCCAGAACCCTCTAAATACAACTAATACAGGATTGGCCATTTCTGACCTCCTCCATATGAGGAAGTGACAGCCTCTCTGCAGATTGCCTCATGAAATTCAAGTGGTTCTTTTACAGTGGAGAAGGAAATTTTGCTTTAATTGAGATAAATCTTTATCCTTGTTTATATCATCATCCTCACTGAGAGCTCTGAGTGCTGGAAAAGAGCCTACCAAAGGAGCTAGCACTGAAAGAGCTCCTGATTTTCTAATTGAGCTTCAGTATGTTTCTTTTTCAGCTGAGCTGGCTAAGAGGAAAAAATAAGGTGATATTGCTCAGTCTCCTGTTTATAGCTCAATGCTTTGCAGAGAGCAAAAAGCTTTAGTTTCAAAGGGAATTGAAATAACTAGGAAATCCACATTCCCTTCTTCACTCCCAATATCCAGTTGACAGCACTCATGTGCCTACCAGTTTGCCTCCAGCAGAGGAAGTGATGTGCTAGGAGAGAACACACTTAGGGAGATCAGGGCACCCCTCAGCCCTTTCAGGATAATCTTTGGAGCTATAACCAGGTTAGCATGAAAAAAGAGAGCTGTACACTGATCTTTTTGGGCAGCTGAGTGAAGAAGCAGAGGACTAGGGCACAGAAGATGGTCCTTACTTTGGGCACTGGACTTTATTTTGTCAAGGATAAGTCTGAATGTAGAAGACAATGGGTAGCAAAACAGGAAAAAAAGTCACCAGGGATTAAAATTAACAACAGAAGACACAGGAGGGAGGTTTGGAATGAGGGCTTCAATGTGTAAATTCTGCATCTCACAAAGAAACAAGAAAGCAGAAGCATCTCAGAGCAGATCATGGACACCAGGAGACCATTAAGACCCAATAGAACCCAAATTACAAAGTTTTTTGAACTAGGGTTTACTCAAGACAGAAAATTGTGGGCACAACTAGGAATACAAGCCCAAGGGACAGATCTCCCAGGAAAGGTCTGTGAAGGTATTGCAGGGAGCAGCAGCACTCAGCCATCCCCAGATGGGCAAGGTAACATCTGTCCATCACCAACCTAAAAAGGAACCGTGCCAGGTTGGGCTGGGCCAGCTGGCACCAAGACCAACACAAAGGCAAGGCTGAAATTAAAAGACAAACTCACTCCATCCCCTAAAGTAAATGACCACTTAGCCTCACTTTTGATAAGTGGCAACTCTGAAAATGGAAACCAAGACAGCCTAATTGAAACTAATAGCACGTGAGTGGAAATTACCACTTCTGAGCTAAAAGCACTCAACTGTAACACACTGAGATCAAACAGAGCAGATAATCTCTGTTCTGGACCAGGTTTAATGAGAAATTAGGGTTTTAATTGATCTTCTTTTTAAAAATACATCTGATAAGAGCATGTCAGACAACTCAGAATAGCAAGGAAGCTGATCTTCAATAGAAGGCTGTGACCCAGGCATGGCTTCAGTCGCTTTTGCTTAAAACCAAGAGGATTTAATAAGCATCTCACCTTCCTGAAACGTGGTGGAAGATGCTATGGGAGCTCTGAAATAATGCTACATTTTTCCTACCCTTTGTAATAACCACCAGACAGGTTTCAGTCAATGAATCAGACTGGATTTTTTCTCGTGAAGACAAGTGGAAAGATCTGGCCGAAGCATCTCCTCAGCATTTCCAGATGGATAAACCTGCAAAAGGCCTTGGCTGACTCTTCCAGAGGACAATTTACACCAGGGTGGGTGGAATCTCTGCAGGCTGCCACCAGCCACTGACAAGAGCATAAATCTGTCCTAAACCAAGCTCTTTGATGAAGGGGAAAGAAGAGGGGTCACAGGCTATGCTGGCTGAGTTGGCTTCATTTGGTGCATTTCTCCTCCACCCTCGTATCTTGCAGGTGTCCAGGACGACAGCCAGCTCCCCAACCACATAACCCACTGTACCCCCCACAGGAAGTTCCACCTCAACATGAGGAAAAACTTCTTTCCTGTGAGGGTGACAGAGCCCTGGGACAGGCTGCCCAGAGAGGTTGTTGGGTCTCCTTCTCTGGAGACTTTCAAGACCCAGCTGGATGCCTTTGTGTGACCTGCTGGACTCGATCTCCAGAGATCCCTTCCAACCTCTAACATTCTGCTTAGGAAACCACAAGTGAAACCAAAAAGATTCAAGATTCCTACTTACGTTTCATAGATGTGTCCATTTTCAACCCTCTCCTCCACGTAGGCCAGGGCACGGACATGCATGGGGGAGTGGGGGAAGGCAGCATGGATCCATGGGAAGCCAAAGACTGACAGCCCCGTGTTGATCAGTGCCACAAGCAGCAGGTCCCAGTGATAAGCTGTTCCCTTCACCAACCTGAAACGAGAATTTTGTTAAGAGAAGTTACAACCTGAAACAGGCTGCTCTTGCTGAACCCAAACTCAAATGCCCAGCACCAAAGTGCATTCCCATGTACAGAGTGATTTCCCACTGCTCCTGCTTTATAGCCTGTGCTACACGAACATGAGAGGTAATGAAACTTGATAGCTTGTTCCCAAAGCAGTCATCTCCTGGAAAGAACAGGGCTGAGCAGAAAGGCAACCCACTAAAATAACAGCCCATTAAAATTTCATCAGTGTTTTGTCACTACGTGTATTGCAGAGTCCACTCAAAATACACACACAAACCTGCTGGCAGAGGATGTGTGAGGAGGGGTTGGAAACCTGGGCATGGGCTGCCAAACTACTGACACTGAAGCTCCCCACTGATCTTGTTTTTAAATCCTGATCTCCCTCCTTCCCCAGCAACAGAACATGTGCTGCATATGCTGCAGTAATCCCCTAATAATGTAATTGCTACCTCATGATAAGAAAATGGGACATGAATTCATTAAGCTTCAGCTCCTCCTTAGCAGCCAACCAAGGAGATGTGAACTTGGGTGAACATGTTTGGTCTGTTAGGGGAGGGGGACCTGGCAGCCTTCACCAAGGAAGCTGACCACATTCACTTTCTGCATGGTCTGCCCCACTCCTGAATATATCCAATCTGGTGCCAGCTGCTCAGATAGTATGAGTAAAGTTTAGGAAAAGGCTGGAGAAAGATTCAGCTCTCAGACTGATACCTGGCTGGGAGGTCTATAGCTGTGTTTCTGCCTGGGTATCAGAGCTAACAGCTGTTGTCACACTGATGCAACACAAAGGATCAGTTGAATTGCTCTCCAGGCACCATCAACTGGAAAGGGAGCACCATTTGGGTGTCTAAATCATGGAATCCTAGAATGCTTTGGAAGGGACCTTCAAGATCATCTAGCTCTACCTCCCCCCACCACAGAGAGGGACACCTTCCATTAAACTAGTGCAGGCCAGGACATGGTTGGCTTTCTGGGCTGCAAGTGCATATTGCCAGATTAGGTCCAGCTTTTCATCAACCAACAATCCCAAGTCCTTCTCCTCAGGGCTGTTCTAAATTTTAATGCCACCTGGACTCCAAAGAGGCGTAAAATGCCTCAGACAAGCAGTGGAGGGCAAGTGGTTCCTTGTTAAAGGAGAAATCTCACCTTTCACTTAAGATCTGCTGTGTTCAATACCTAAAAGCAGGGCCTTGGGAGCCATATGAGATGCTGTAGGATGTGAGGTGCATGGAGCTAAGCAGACAAGAGCCAGCACATGAAGATCTATGCATAAAGTCTGTCTCAAAGAGCAGCAGATGCCATTGTCCAAGCAGCAGAAATCTTGGGTGAGGTTCAGTTTTGGAACAAAGACTTGTCTCACTGGAAGTGCTCACCTCTATTGACTGAGAAGGCCACGGGGTGACTAGGTCAGGTAGATGTCTACATTGCTGTGCCTCTGAAGCTGGAAGGTGCTGGCAGGAAGGGTGGGATTGTAAATGTTTCCTGTGCTGGCTCACCCTTTGAAAGCAAGGCTCCTGCTAACGTGCTGCTTTCCCAGAGCAAAGGCATCTCCAGCATCCCTAGGGTTATGGTTTGATTGTCCTGTCTGCCCTTTTCAGAGGGCTTTCTATGTACAAAGGCCAAACCTTTAAGAGCAGCAATGTCTTAGACACCTGGGACACAGTTTGGTCTCAGCAGTCTTACAGGCTGAGAGAGTTGGGGTGTTCAGCCTGGAGAAGGCTCCAGGGAGACCTTAGAGCACCTTCCAGTGCCTGAAGAGGCTCCAGGAAAGCTGGGGAGGGGCTTGGGACAAGGGCAGGGAGGGAGAGAACGAGGGGGAATGGATTAAAACTGGCAGAGGGGAGATTTAGATGAGATATGAGGAAGAAATTCTGTGCTGTGAGGGAGGTGAGACCCTGGCCCAGGTTGCCCAGAGAAGCTGTGGCTGCCCCATCCCTGGCAGTGTAGAAGGGCAGGTTGGATGGGGCTTGGAGCAACCTGGGCTGCTGGGAGGTGTCCCTGCCCATGCAGGGGGGTTGGAACTGGATGATCTTGAAGATCCTTTCCAACCCAAACCACTCCATGACACTGATTCTACAGCACTGTTTATGACATACACCTGAGCTGCACTGAGCTTGTCTAGATCAACACACACACAAAGACCTAGATGTCTTAGCCTACGTTATCTCCACACTGGCCAACCAGCCCAACATTCCTTGGACTCTCCCATAAGCTTGCTGCTACTCTTTACCAAACACACTAGTGTGTGTTCAGGGCAAGCATACTTTCCCTGTTTTTTCTACAGGAGGTAAACACTATGTTGGGCAAGACACCAAACAGCACATTCTCCACTTAGCTGGTATGAATGATGATATTTTTGATCTGTGACGGTACCACAAACAGAAGGTGTCAAGTCCTAGTTTTCCTGTCTCTAAAAATCCATGTCTTGATACTTGGTCAGCATAAGCTCATCCCTGCAACAAGGCAGTATGAAAAATACTACCAAGAATTCCAAAGAACAGTTTACATTCTGTAAAGACACTCTAGTGGAAAACACCAAAAGTCTGGAAGGAATTCACAACAGGAGAAAGATGACCCACTTACATGACAGATTTATGCAACACTTTGAAGGGATAAAGATAAGAGGAAAAAAAAATCAAGGGGTCAAAGAAAACTGAATTCTAACTGAATTTCTCTCCCCTAATTCAGTGTCACTCCAGCTACAACAGGGAGAATGTTAATGTGTGTTATGCAAGGAGAGAACCCTCCCACATGTTACATCAGCACAAAATCCTTGGAGATGTGGTAGTTTCCCAGGAAAAAAGTCATGCACAGTCATTCTTGCTATCATATCTGATTGCAGCTGGCACAAAAACATCAGAGGGAATATGCAGAAGTGCAACATCTTGCCTCAAGTTGGCATGTAAATCAGACCTATCAGTGTTCTGCTTCACTTCTGCCTTTCAGTTGCAGGCTGACAGCTCCAAAGCCTTTCCTGATGCTCAGCTGCAGCAGATCATGACATTTATGCAGGTCATTGAGCTCTCAGGCACTTCCTAAATATCTGGAGGTATGTCCACTGACCTCAAACCATACCAAAAAAAGTATATAGATATATATCTATGTAACATTCACTCATGGGCAAAGAACAAACAGACTCAAGTGAGGAGCTCACTGATGCTTTGCATTTTGGACTCATTGCCACAATATTGGGTTCTGGGGACAGTGAGGAATTGAACAGTAGAATTGCTTTAATCTATGACAACAGAAGTTCTGAAGAACATGTCCCAGTAATATTCAGACAATGTTTAGCAGTCCTGGGAGAAGACTTGTCCCTCAGCAGAGGAAGAGGAGTAGTAAAAGTATTATCTGTTCTCTGGGGCATTGGTGAGCGATGCTGTGATGTTCTGCTCTATGAAGAAGAGCATTGAGAGGAGGAACCCCAGCCCCATGGCACTCATCACTGACCCAAAGGAGAGGGACTGCACTGGGGCCAGCACAAACAAGCTCTCAGATGGGTTGTAGTTAAATTTGGACACTGGAAAGAGGAGGAGAATGATATTAGGAGCCACCTTCTTTTCCACATCATCTACACAGACTCAAGCAACTCCCCATACTACAAATGATAGGGAACCAAAGCAGCAAAGCAGGCGTGATGCCCTGGGCTGTGGGAGCCAGAAGGCCACAGACAGGCTCACCTGGCTGGTTGAGTTTATATTTTTTCCTCCATCCTCTTAGAACTTGGCTGCCATCCTGATTTGACAGATTACTGCTAGTTCTGGTAAGGCATTACATACATTTGAGCAAAACAAAAGAGGGAAACTTGTTTTCCACAGATGTGAGGTGTTTGTAGATTAGAAAACCTTATTTCTAACTACTCCTCCTGCTCAATTAATCAACTGACAGAGGCAGTTTCAAACTTCCTCATCTCCAATAAGCTGTGCAGGGCAGTTTAGTATTATATGCCCCTACTTTCCTGCCATTGGAAGAAATCCATGGCTAGGGATAAATCACACATGGCCACACATTATACTGAAATCCAACTAGATGGAATGGCCATCAGAAAAAAGCCATTTCTTATTTGTTTCCATACATTTCCTCACCATCACCCACTCACGTCACCACAGGACAATGCAATTCCTGTCCCCATAATCGCTTCCTGATATGGAAAAGCTGATCTATTTGGCCAATGAATGGTGTCTCATTTTTAGATTTCCTTGTGTAACTTAGAAACTGCCCAGATGCTCTGCACCATTTCACCTAAATTAGGAAAACGTCAACTGGAGACAAAGAGGACAGACTGGGATCATCAGCTCAATGTCTGTAGGACTGGCAACAACCCTTCCTGCCTGCTAATTACTCTGCCCTTTGTTCTTTGCCAAAAAATTGTTGATCCTCTTTATTGCAAGAGATACGTATGTTTAATTATGTCGAAAAGAGACACTGGAATAATTTATCTAGAGAAAAAGAAGCCTTCATCCAGTATATTTTATTAGAGTCTTGAATGAATTCAATCTACTGTTGAGGAAGCTCAAGCTCTTAGGGTGGTGGGAGGTACACGAAGGATTTGTGAAATTCCATGGGAGACTTGGACTATTTTTTAGCAAAACCTTCCAGGGATATCATTTCAATTTTTCAGACACCCTAAATAGCTTCCCTCGGCCTTCCAGAGAATAAAAATGTAACTTACTTTTGATTTCCTTGAAGACGTAGGAACCCACAACAGAGAAAGTCAGAACTGAGATTGGTAAGGCACAGTCGGACAGAATTTCTCGTACTCTCGCGTGCAAATACGGGCTGCAATTTAAAGACAAACAACTGCCATCAACACCACACAGGTGAGACAATTGCTCAGTCCAGATAACTTCAACAAGTGACAACTCAGTCCAATTCTAAAGAGGTATTTGTAGTGGAGAATTAGTCTTGAACTCAGCCCTAAATCCTCTGGAATCTACAGCTTTTGACAGTTACTGAATGCATAAGCAAAACCTCCAAAGAAACAAGAAACTAAGATGTAAGCTAGCAAACAGTCCTCCAAGCACCAACTGGTGTCTCATTTCCACTTTAGTTTAATTGCTTACTCAAGAATTTCAAATTAATTAAGGGCAATGGGAGTAAACCCCAAATTCGAGCTGGGCATTTGGTTCTTGAGAGCACACTGAAGGTACATTCCCAGGAGACCTTCCAGCACCAGGAGAGATTTTCCCCCCCAAAGTGGTTCAATTCCTACTTTTGGGGGGCAGTTACAGGAGTTCCAACATGAAGTGCATGGTTCCCCCAAAGCTTTTTAGAAAGTCACTCGTGATGCCAAACCAAATACAGAAGGGCACCATCCAGTGACTAGAACATTCTGCCCTGCTAACATTTTCCAGGTGGCCAGCCAAGTTCAGCTCTGGCTTTGGCTTCCACCACCACTCATGGAAGAGTTCCACCTGATTTTTCTGGGTTACAAAATTAAAACCTAAGACCATTAGTGATTTCTCACAGCTTAACAGGAAATAACCAGTAGTCTGAGCTCTAAGACTGAAGCAACTCACCTTTTCTTAAACTGATAGAGCGTATGGCCAAGCCAAAGGGTACCCAACATCAACATGAGACTAAGGACGGCAGTTTCATGTCCATAATGCACATCATTCGTGCCTGTTTGATTCTCTAGGGACATGGATCTGCTCACTGATGAATTCATCAAGAAGGTGGTATTGATGCCGAGGCTTGGAAGAGCATTAGCTCGTGCTTTTTCCAAGTAACTGTCTCCTGTGCACCCATGGTAGTAATATTTCTTAAAAACTGTACAAACAACCAACAGGCAAGCATTAGGATAGGTTTGTGACAATCAAAGCAAGTAAAATAAAGTGGTTCTTTCTTGCTTGATCATGCAGCATTAACACTATGCTTCACCAGGCTTATAACTCCTCAAACCAGTGAAATCAGGAGAACTACTTCTCTGACAAAGCCAGTGCTTCACAAATTCATTTTTCACTTATTTTAACAGGGAAAAGTGATTTTTCTCTAAAGCAACACATTTGAACTGCAAGGACTTCCAGTGCTAGTTGTTTACCTGATCTTGTTCTTAGCACTAGAATCACTTTAAATATTTATAGATGTTAAAAAAAATACCTACTTTTCAGCAGACTGGTAAACAAATTCCATCAGGATCTCTGAAAAAAAATTAAGAGCAGCCAGGCTGCTCAGATCCTTAAGTGGACCACAGAATGTGCAGTAATTACTTTTCCTCCAAAGCTGGTGCAGATTTTAAAAGGTAAGTGTTGATGATATGCAAAACCTGGCAGAACATTTCAATTTACACAGCAAACTGAAAATGAGTAACAGAGCACCTGAAAAAAAACCTGCACAAGTGAAACAGCCAGGAATGCTCCTGGAACTGCCCACAGATGTTCCAGGTTAGCTCAGCCTTTATAGAAGTAATTAACAATTGTAAAGACACTCTTGCTTTTTGGGTATTTAGACAGCTGTGTTCCCATTTCTATGGCATGGGCTGGCTCCAAGCAGGTAAATGGGGTTTTGGGGATGATTTCACTTCTTTTGGGAACATAAACAAGAAAAACCAGGAGATGGGAGCTGGGCTTTGCAGCCTCAATACTCCCATGTGATGTGATTGGACAGCAGCACCTGCTCTCCCTCAAACCAAGGGGGAGATACAGGAGGATGAAAACTACCATGTCAGAGCTTTGCTGTCCCTCTACCTTTCCTGGCTTCAGCCACATTATCCCTTCCAATTTTGCAGAGAGATACTCAAAAGTTTAGGCAGGATCATTCTCTTTATGCAAAAAATACAACAATCTGAATCTAAACTATAAAGCTTATCCTAACATCCCCCCTCACCCCTGAATAACTCCCTTCCCACCCCAAACATTCTATGATTTTAAGAAATAATAATAAAGTTTCTGAAAGCCCCAACCACCCCGCTTTTCCCCTCTGCAGCAGCTACAGGGAAAACAGGGAAACCAAACTGTAATTCTAAATATTTGAAAAGAAGCAAAAGAAACTGTGAACATTATTGGAAAGCACACTTGGTATTTGCCACTACCTTGAATTTGGCTGAAGCACAGTTTGTGTTTCTGCTGGTTTGGAGCTCACCCCAACAGAAAATGTTTAACTATGCTGCCATTTGAAGAGTGGTGATAACCCTTCTTGTACCACCTTTCAAAAGGAGTCTGGGCATTCAACAACTAGGTGGGGTCAAGAGGGCTTGAAGGTCACAAGAGCCAAGACCAGTTACTTCACATTCAATACTTCTGTATAGAAATTGGAAGATCATAAGAAGGTTAACAGTTCAAAGATGTAACCTTTCAGTTTGCCCACAGCAGCAGCCAGAGATGAGGAGGCCATTGCACTTTTAAAACATGAGAAAGCTTCCTCCCCTAAGGAGCAATCTCATGACAACCTTTGTCAGCACTGGGTATTTATTTCTGCGTCGCCTGCTACGGAAGAGGCTCTGCTCCCATTTCCTCCCTCCAACCTCACAGCTGTGGCCAAGCCCAGGCAGGACACACACGCTTGCTTTGAGAACAGGTAAACTGAGGCACAGATCACTGCTATGACCCACACACTGGCACAGAACAGGTTGTTGGAGGATTTGTGTTTTCCGGCTTGGAACGTTAAATGGCTGTTTTTGTCATAACAGAAATGATTATGGCAGCATTTCCTGGGGATTAGCAGCTGGTCAGGGCTAAAAGCCTGTCCACCATCTCAGCTGACCCTAAAAGCCTTCCTAACTCCTAGAGAGACACAATTACTGAGCATTTGATAAGCCAACAGCAAACACAACCCAGCAACTATGCAGAATGCATTGGTGTGACTCCATAGTTAGATTAGGACTGGAATGAGCAGGAACTGAGTTACTTTGTTCTGGGTCTTGTGGATTTCCCCTTTTGGGAAGTTCATTTCCCCCACTTGACTATATTGGAATGACACATTTAGAGCTACACACACCTTTGGTGCATGGAATTCAGCCTGACTAAGTCTCAATTTAATTTGCACCCACCTCAAAACTAGGTAGGGTTGCTCCACTCAGACTCGGATACAAGGAAGAAAGACTTCACTTTTGTATTTTAGTTACAGCAATGAGAAGATGCCAAAGTGGCTAATGGAGGCCTTCATCCTGCACACAGACTTGCTATAAAATATTTGCTTCCTGTGGATGTATAATTTGTTTTTCTAAGAGAGATGAGTGAATCTTGTTGCCCACGTTCAGAGAGAGCAGCAAAGCAGGTGGTGCCCTCACTGAAACAGAGCCATTCTCATGCCAAGTACATGCTAAAGTTCCCTCCAACAACATTAACTCCCTTTGTTTGCTCCAGCCAGTTCACCTCTGTTTCCTGCAGAGTGCAGATGTCAGGATCAAACAAACACAGCTTTTTGGTGGCTGGGCCACTTGGTGAAAACAAAGTGTCACCAGGATAGCATGAACCCACGGGGCTTGATTCCTCTGCACAGCATCACATCCCTCCCCCCTGCTTTCCTGCACATCGACGAGTACCTTGCAAAAAGGGCCATGAGAAGACTGAGGAAAACAGAGCTGAGCAAGTGCAGCATTTTCCCTGGCACTCAGGAAGCTCCAAAATCACTGTCAGCTGGCTGGCCATCACCAGCACACATTGCATAGCATGGAGGAGGCACCAGCTTTCTCGTTCTGCTTAACTGCTCAACCAAAGTTTTGAGTGGGAGGGGGAGATGGCAGCAGCAACCATCACCTCCTGCTACAAAACAGGAGGGGAAGATGATGTGGCTGTGAGCTGCACTGCTGTCATGTAAATCTGAGCAGGGAGAGGGTTAAGGATAAAGGCTGTGCCTGCCAGCATCAGTGCCTTCCTGCATCTGGGAATGTGGCTGGACCTGGGGTCCCATCTGCTGATGCACTGAACACTCCCAGATGCAGCTCAAACCAACAAGAGCTGGCAAATGAGTGCAGTGTTGATTTTATTGCCATTATTTCTATAAACTCAGCCCTTTTCAACTACAAGGGAGAATTACACTAATTCCCTAATTACACTAATTAACTTCCAGGATCCTCTCCTGTCCCCAACTGCAGTCCTCTGGGGCACTACTTGCATATTCCTGGAAGCCTGGAAGCTGAGATCAGCAGATCCTTTCTGTACCTTTAGCCTGCACCTCACTGCCCTGCTATGGGAAACCAGCATTTGCAGTTTGTAATTTGAATGTGCTGATTTTCACAGAGCAGTTGAATATTCTGTTGAGGAACACCCGAGTGCCACAGGGAGACTGTCTCATGCCTCCAGAACAGGGCACTCACACAGCACACAGTGAGCAAGGAGAAAGCAGAGTGCCCTAGAAAAGCATCTCCTTCACCAAGCTTTGTCTAAGCAGGATGTTTGAAAGCTGCAGATGTTCTGCAGAGGGAAAAAAAAAACCCAAACCTCTGATTGCACAATCAAAGCATATGCTCAAGGAGCCAAATTAAGGATTCCAAATGAAGTGAGAAAGTATCTCATTTCAAATTGCTTTGCAGTGTCAAAGCTGCTCTTTGAAGGTGTTCTCCTTGCATGCAAGGTACCAGAATGAGACAAGCCTGAGAATCCTGAAAACAAGAGATGTACTCAGCATGCTTAGGTATGTCCTGAAGGATTGTAAAGCACAGCCCAAACTTGGGACTGTTGGACAACTGGTCATTAAAAAAAGGAATGCAGACTTGGCCAGCTCCACACTGGGATGAACAGAAAGGCTGCTATTCACATGGCACTTTTGCTAACATCTTTCACCTTCACAAATACCTCCTGCCAACCCTGATCAGGAAGAAGACCAGGTGAGAGAAATCTGTTGAACCCCAAGGCTGCTCATGGATACTCACCTAGAACTTAACCCAGAAATGGGGAGCAAGTGGCTGGAAAGGGCAGAATAACTTCAGGAGCATGCTGGAAGGTGATACAGTCCTCATGTTGCCATGAAAGAAGGGTCTCAGAGGTCATGGAAGAACCTCAAATCTTATCTTTCAACTTCTCTCCATGTACTTTTAATAATGTGACAAAAGTAAGGCCTAGATGCAGTGCATTTAAAGTGGGCTTGTTTTTTTCCAAGCTCAAAGAGACTGGTAATCAGGGAAGACTTTCACAGCAACATTAATATGGTTTCTCCATTTGTTAAAGACACTAATTGTATATCTCAGCCAACTGATAATTACACTGATAGAAATTCTGCATATCCAGATAATTTGCTGACACGGGGCTGCTTCAGTCTCACACACATTTTTTTCCCCCCCTGAAGACCCTGAATAAATTCTGCATATCCAGATAATTTGCTGACACAGGGCTGCTTCAGTCTCACACACATTTTTTTTTCCCCCCTGAAGACCCTGAACAAACATGGAACAAGCAAACATCACACACATTTGCAGCCTCACATTTCCCTCTGACAAGGAAGCAAAGCAGAGAGCTCCACTAAAGAACACTGTTGCAAGGCTTACCTTTAGTAATGCCTTTGATGGCATCAAGCACAAACGTGACAGATATAAAAAGTGCAATTATTTCTTCTGTTGACCTGTGAAAAACAATCCCAGGAATTAATCTGGCTATTGGCAGAGTCTATATTCAACTATTCAAAGCAAAATTGGCACATTCATGCATTTACATGAAAATATATACCAACTTCAGTTAGACTCCAACTGAAGAAACAAAACCCAGTGATGCTTTTAAAAGCTTCTTTTGAGCTGGAACAATCAACTGAAATGATACTGGCCTCATCTTGCAAAATACATTTCGTGGCAAGTTTGTTAATTAAGGAGCTTGTCGAATGTATAATTTTTCCATTTGCTGAATAATCTGATAAAAAAAAAGACTTCTGGAAAATAGCTACCTTTTAAAGAGCTTCATCAGAAGACTGAAATTAAAGAGGGCGTATATCACCAGGAAAAAGCTGTTCCACAGTCCAATCCAGGCATAGAAAGCACTGAAATCCAAGTTGTAGTCATCACAGATCCCTCGGATGACTGCAAAAATGAAGCATTCACGTGTCAGGTTAAAACTTCTGTCATTACCACCCCGTGGTTCCCATCTGCTTGATGGCAAAAAGAAGCAATTTCAAGCCTTCATGGCAATGCACTCATGGCAGAACCCCTGTTTTTACACTCCTGGATAAATACTGGATCAACCTAAATTGCTCTCCCCCTTCTCTATCCCTCTCATTCACCAGAAATGGGAATCAAAACTTGGAAGAATGTTCTCCTACATTGTTCAAAGCAACTTTTCTTATGGTCAAGGCTACAAAATCAGCCCCTAGAATTGGCTCTCACTGACATTTCAGGATGCTTTTGTACAGGGGATCTTGTATGTGCTTTTCCACAGTTTACTCAGTCACTACATTGTGGACAAAACCTCAAGTTTTCAACCTTTCACACAAGTCATGGCCCTTCTGGCTGCTGCTATAGATACTGAGTCTGCTCCTTTACACCTTTGGCTCAGTAATATCCACTTCCAGCTGTGACTGGAAAGCTATGATCTCCCCTTAACAGACCAATAACAACAAAACAAAAAACCCAACCCACAAAAAACTGTCTCAGGCTCTTCTCCACAAGTTGGTTTAATGCAGCCACGTGAGACAACCATCAGATGAAAAAGGATTTCCTCCTTGAAGCAGAAATGCTTCTTCTCACAAAACATCTTTTCTGTGCAAAATGATTCCTTTAGAAACCAACTTGAAATCTGAATCAAATTCTGTCCCTCTCCCTCAGCACCAGAGCAGCCATTTAATGTAGATTAGACAAATACAATTCAAGCTCTAACAGGATTGTAAGGTTCTCCTACAAAGTCCCATTCCACCCACTGCAAACACACTGCTCCCCTGATGTACACGTTTAGTAAACTTACCATTGATGTAGAGTGCTAAAGGAGCTGTAGTTAGGAGGACAACTAGTGGTTGCCCTGCAAAGAGTGCATAAAGCAGCCCTCCAATACACTGCCCAACGATTGTCTTCTTCACATCTATGAGCAATCAGGAAGGATGAAAACAAACAAGGTTTTTAATAAACACCTCTCTGATCAAGGCACGGAGTGAGAACAATGTTTAAAGGTGCAGAGGTGAGACACTGTGGAACCAAAACCTGTACCAATAACCATAGAATCTCAGACTGGTTTGAGTTGGAAGGGACCTTCAAGATCATGTCATTCCAACCCCCTGCATGGGCAGGGACACCTCCCACCAGCCCAGGCTGCTCCAAGCCCCATCCAACCTGCCCTTCAACACTGCCAGGGATGGGGCAGCCACAGCTTCCCTGAGCAACCTGGGCCAGGCTCTCACCACCCTCACACTAAAGGAATTCTTCCTAATGTCTAACCCCAAATAATTTAGGATGTAATCAGATTTCCAGATGTTGACCTATGAAAACTGGGTGACTGCAGTTCTTTTTTTGTTTAGTTTGGGTTTGGTTTTTTAGTTGTGTGGGGGTTTTGTTTTTTGGGGTTTGTGTTTTTTTTTTAGTTGTGTTTTCATTTTAAAATTTGAACAGCTACAAAAAACACAACCAGTGTTTGCAGATGCCTTCAGGACAAGTTTTCAACTAAGACTCCTATGAACTGTGACAGCAGTATAAGATACTCCAGGGCCATAACTGAGATAGAGGAAAACATCATCCATTATAGCAGTGGTTTGGATACTAGCAATTACAGTCAGCTCCAAAGCACAGGAGCTTGTTCTAGCAAAAATCTGCACATAACTATATGGCTAAAGTGAGCATCACTTAAAAGTACAGTAGCATAAAACTGCATCTGTCCAAGTCAGATGATACTATTGAAAGTAATGGTCAGTATTTTCCTAGTCCATTGAGAAAAAGCCAACAATTTAACAACTAGAAAAGCTTTCAGTGGTATTCTATTCATCAAATAAAACCTCCAAGTTTCCTGTGACCAGAGCTACTCAATTGAATGCATGGGATCTTGTAACAGATGCATAAAACTGACCAACTCACCAATAGCTCCTCGGGTGTTTTCATCATTGAGTGACCCAAATGCAATGGAGGGAAGGAGGCAGGCAAAATAGAGAAAGATCATAGTTGTGATGTATTTTCCTATAGCTTTGTTGTTTCCAATAATACCTAGTGTAAACCATAACAAAAGCCATGTTAGTTCTACCCACTTAGAATCATAGAATGGTGAAGGTTGCAAGGGACCTCCAAGATCATCAGGTTCCAACCTCCCTGCTATGAGCAGGGACACCTCCCACCAGAACAGGCTGCACAGGGTAAAAGTCCTTGTGAAGGAAACTGAAACCCTTCTTGCACCAGCCATATGGACCATGAGTTCTTTTAATGCTGAAAGGCAGAAGCAGAATTTAACCCACACTTTAAATGGATAAGTAGGTCTTCAACATTTGCTTTTGCACAACCATGCTCTTCTATTCAGCAGGGACCAGAGCTAGAAGCTCCAACATGCCACCAGACTCCTTCAACAGACATTTCTGGCACCATCAAAACAGGAAATACTAGAAACCTTTCGTTCAGTTTTGCCAGCCCCAAAAAGCTTGGAAGAGGATTAAAGCAGAAACCCTAAGTTTAGGGTTTATAAACCCCCTATTCCCTGGTCTTTTTTAATACCAGCTTTATAGGTATCCTGGGCTAGGCCCCTAAGAAGCTTCATGATGATCACTCGTCTTCACCACTCATGATGCTCTGGGCAGGAAAACCATGAGGCACTTCATTTTTCCCCAGGCAGAAATCTGAGGTTATAGGCTTGAATCAATCATATGCAAGGCTGAGGCAATTAGTGCTTGCAGACTTCAAAACCACATAGCACAAGAGGTCAGGAATGTGTACATTAAGGGGTTTGCTTTTGAAAAAGCCCTTCATGAAATAGCAGCTCCTTTCTTTTCCATCCACTCACCCCCTCTCATCTCCGTCGGAAAAAACACACCAGGCCAAAACAAAAGCAGCCAGAAAGGGAATTAAAGTGTCATGATATGAATTGAAGGGCCTCTGAAGTAGCTTCCCTTTCCTGTTTTTAGACTGACGTCCATCCCCAGTGAGCTCACATCACACAGGAGAAAGGATGAGAGGTGACAACAGCTGGTGTTGCTCGAGGAGAACAGATTTTTCCACAGGACAGTCTCTTCAGAGAGGACACACCAGAGAGGACCTTGACAAAGAAAGTCTTGAAACAGCCTTCAGCCTGCCCATGCCACCATCCTTGATGATGACACTGCTGGCAAGACACTTAGACAAGCTTGGACTTGCCCAGTTTCCCTTTCTGGAAGTCTCCAGAGCACTGAACTGCCACAAATACATCTGTCCCTAAGCCCCCATCCAAGCTTCTGTTAGCATCAGTCCCTTGCCAAGGAAGCCTCCAAGACAAGGAGTTGAATCAGAGAAAGGAAGGGAGGGCTGTGCATTAGAGGCTGCTGGTGCAACACAGAAAATCTGGACATTGCCACAACAGACTTTAAAAAAGTCAATGACTTTGGGATCTTATCTAACATCTGTTTTCTGCACCATTTGCAGTGCAGAGATAAAGACAGGGGGATGCAAGAAACAAAACTCCGAGATGATGTGTAATGAACAGCAGCCACGTGAACAGAGGACACTCTGATGGTTCCTGTGTGCTGACATGAGAGAAACAGACAGAAATAGGACTCTGGATGCTCAGCATCCTCCAAAAAAGGGCAGGGCCTGAAACTTGACAAGAGACATCTCAAGCATGCAAATATGAGCCTGACCTTCCGGGAGTCACAGGACCAGCTGTTTCAGGGCAGATTCCTTTCAATTTATTGTGAAGATTCAGAAACCTCAAACCACATTCCTGACCACTCCTGGCAACCAAAGGGCCCAGAATATACTTTGTGCAGATGAAGCTCTCTCATGTGATCAGGTCCAATAGCTGCAGGCTCCTACCTCATGTTCTCAAGTGCCTGAGACCTTTAGAGAACTGGAAAGATTTGGGAGGCCAAACAGTGGACCATAGGGTAGTTTTGTAAGTAGAGATGGTACCATCCCTGTTCAGAGGACTCCATGCCACTCCAGAGTACTGCTTTTTGGACAAAGGAGTCCTTCCAACATGAAAGGTCAGAGGTAATGCCTGACAACTTTGAAATCATTCATAAGACAACAGGCAACCAGGATCAGAGAAGTAATTAATATTTAAAAAAGCTCATTTGCTGACCAGCTACGTAAGTGAGAATCTGCTTTCTAAATAATTTCAGGTAGAAGAGGAGGGAGGAAGGAAGAAGCCTGGAAGAACATCACAAAACCTCATGCAAGGCTTTTTCCTTTCAGGTTCAGCCCTTGCAAAGCCAAGCAGGAGGAGTCCTCAGTGCTGGTGGAGGTCCTCAAGCCACACCATGGCTGGGCCCAAGCCTTCCAGCAGAAAGCAGGACTTTGTTTAGTCCATAATGAGCCACATGAGATACAAGGAGCAAAGAATCCCTACTGGTGGGCAGCAAAATTCCCTTCATAAGAGAGACAATAACTATATCACATGAAACACACCCTTTCACAAATATGATTAATCACTCTTTAATTGCAGTTCAAATCACAAGCAAATACTGCCTCTTTGTGCAGTTTCACCTGAGACAAGCACTAAAATCCAGTGTCAACCACAATTTACCTTTTGCCTCTTTAAAGTCAACATCTGGCTGAACATTTTCTGGGTCTATTTGCAGCCCAGGGACTGACATGACTTCATCTGAAAGAAGGTGGGCTGCACAATGATGGCTTTTCATCTGTAGCAGCCTCATAAAAGCCATGGAAAAATGTGTCATTCCAACTGCACAAGCCACATTTGTAGCAGCAAATCAACTCTCAGTCCAGGTGGGATATTTGAGTAACTGACTATTACAGAAGCAATCCCTTGAATTTAAGATCCATCTACACATGGACGCAGGAAGCAATTATGTTCATCAATGTGACAGTTCTATTTTTCTTGCTTGGATTTCTGAAATGCTGTAGTTTTCAAAAGGCAAAGTTAGAGTTTCAGAAAAAACTGCCTTCACTCTATTTGGGAGTCTGCATTAATAAGTTAATGACCAAAAGACCAGGACTAGAGCTCCCTGAGGCTGCTAATTGTACAGTTAGTGAATCAAAATTGAGACAGATGGATATTCTATGAAATGTCTGACTATTCATGTTCCTAATTCTCTGAAATATCCAATGTAAAACAAGTTTAATTATCCTGATCTGCTGCACAGCAGCAGGATGGGTCTATTAAAGCTCTGACTGGAAAAAAATAGTTTAAAAATCACTTTTAAATGGTAAAAACCACACAGCAAGGATAACTGCTCAGAAGTTTTGAGGCATCAAAACTCCAAGGATTACAAACTCCAGCTAGTGCCCTCAGGTTGGGCTTTTACGTATGTCAATAGATGCTGGACTCTGCCCAGTGTTCTGAAGATGAATCTTCCCTAAGGTTCAGTGAAGACTAAATCACAGAGAGACTAAGAACTGAGCTGGAAAAGGAAATCCACTCTCACTTGGAGCAGAAAAGCCAAGCATATGCTCAGACTAGTGAAGTATGAAGAAACAAATCAAGGGCTCAGAGCTTTCCCTTCTTTCTCTCAGCCCATTTCCCAGGAAGTGCAAGTGTCTTGGAAGGAAACATCCACAGACAAAACAAGATGCTTTAGATGGTTTTATGCAACTTGAATGCATTCCCATCCACCACTGCCACAAAGATTTCAAAAGCATCCTGGCTGCAAACCCAGGTCATGATGCTCCAAAGCATTCAGCAAGTCTTCAAGTGGCTGCTGAATATTTACACCGAGGCAGAGGAGTGTGGAGTGATGCAGGAGCTCCTCAACCATCTAACCTAGGGCAACAGAGGCACTGAAGGGAAAAAGCCTGCCTGCAATCCTTTTGGAACACAACCCTGCCAGAGGGGCCAGTGCAACCAGGTGGAAGAGTCAAAGGTTTGGCACATGCCACAGTTCAACATTTTAGCAGGTCTAAGCTCTGTGCTACCTTAGGCAACGAGCAAGAGAAAACTTCTTCCAAATCTCACTTTTCCAATGCCTTGAAGGTTTCCTCCTAAGCATGCCTGTATTACCAGGAGCTTTGCAGATCTCCCTCCTGGCAAAACACCACCACCAAATCCCAAGGATGCTGCCAGATGTGCTTGCCTAACTCTAGGGAGCTGGTTAAGGATCCTCTGCAGGACCAAGGACACAGAGGAGTCCACATCTCCAGCCAAACTATCCACCCACCATGGCCATGTGCCAAGGACACAGGTCACAGAAAACAAGAGGAAACAGAATAAATCTCAGGTTTCCTGTCTTGCCTTCAACCCTCCCTTCTCAAGAGGTGAAGGGATATGGCAGAACATGGCATCAAAGCCCACCATAAAAACTTTAGGCACCTCAAAATTTCACCCCGGGCACTCCAGGTGCTACATTTATAAGTGTTTAGTCCTCTGTGTTGTACCAGAAAATACACACTGAAGAGTAAGGGCAGCAACTTGAATGGGTTTCAGGAAACCTGTAGCTGAGTCCAGACAGAATTCCTTCCTTCATTCAAACCAATCTCAAAATAAAAAAATAAAGAAAGCTCCCTTGCTGGTTCACCTGAGTTTTAAGCAGTAATAATACAGATATACACATATATATTTAGAGCCTATTTGACAAGATCAGGATGAAGTTCTGTACCAACTTTTTAAAAACAAAGCAGAATCCCTTGAACAAAGGTTGTAGTCACCAAAAGGAGACTACATGCCAAATTGTCTTAATCCTAACTTCAAAGGAAAACTACAGGAGATCTTACTCCACCATGATCCAACTGTTCATCTTCAGATGCTCCTGCTGGAAGACACCTATTACAAACCATCCATATCACTTCAATCCTGGACCAAAAGCTTAGAAAAACTCTTCTTGGATCCTTATGTGTTCAGTAAAGTAAAATGCACAAGACTTCTACAATCCAAAACAGACCTAATGTTGACAAATGTCTGATCTGGAGGAAAAATAGAAAGATGATTCCATTCTTTCCTCTCCCAAGTCATGGTGGCTAAGGATAATTTAATGGCCAGCTTTGAGCAGCATGTGAAGACAACCAATCCTACAGAAGTCCAACTGACAAGCATTTGCTGGCCCTATTATTTATCATCCTGCCCTTAATCGGTTTATCTGTCTAAACCAAAACCCCAGGATGCTTCTCAGATTGAGGACTTTGAGACTCCAACCATTCACAAAAGGCATCCTTGTAAAATCAGAACTCTTTGATGATGCATGTGTGGTTGTCTGGAGTGCAGACACTTGGATAGCTCAAATCCCCAACGTTCTGGTGCACTAGTGCTTTGAGAGGGTTCAGGAATTTCACATTCCTGATCACCTTAGGTCTTGGTGGTTTATGGCAGATGTTTTATGCTCCATCTGGTTTTTATTCCACACAGATCCTAAAAGAATTCATCCTAATTTTGGGTTTCTGGGAAGAAATGGCACATATATATAGGGGTTTTAAAAATCCTCCTCTCCCCAGATCCTCTTTGAAAGAGCACAACTGCTCCTAAGGTGAGTATTTCCCATTTGAGCTGCCTTAGTTCTTGAGTTTCACTTGGCATATTTCTGCTTCTTCCATTCTCCAGAAATTGCATGACAGCTTCTCCTGATGGCCAAAGTTGGCTGCAGAACCACCATATTATGCTTTTGTGGCTGTGAACCTGCTGTGCTCAGGACACTAACAGCCCTAGCAGACACTGTTCTGTCTCAAGATGTGCATGAGTCCCCACGAGGTGCTTCTGCAGCACTTCCATAGCCCTTTACAATGAAAAAAAAAAATCACACTTTAACACCCTACAAAGCAACAGCCATAGAGATGAACTGTTCTGAATCCACTCCAGAGGGTGCCCAGATCAGCAGTTTGTCCCCTGCCAGATCTGATGCCCAAGATGCACATGCCAAGAAATATTTTTCATCCATTTTACCAGACTCCTTGCTGCTACCCTGGAAAAGTAATTTCTTGATCCCCTTCATCTCCAATGTACCCTCAGTCCCCAGAGAGCACAGCATTAGCTTGACTTCAAACAGAGCCTGCCCTCCTTTCACCCTGAGCCTCCTGAAAGCAGTTGCAAAGCACCTGAAGAAAACAACCAGCACCCAAGCACAGTGCTAAGCCAGCACCTCATCCCATTTAGTTCTTCCCAGCAGAGTAGATAACACTAACTTCTGAACTCATCACACTGGGTGCAGCACTCCCAGCCAGGAAAGGTGGGTCTTTGTGGGAAGCAACTACTTCCTCAGACACTTGGCATCTCCTCCACACTCTGCCCACGCTTGCTCTCCAGCTGCTGTGGCAGGTGGCTTTGCACCAGGGTTATTTGTCTAGAAAAGGGGGCTCAAGTGAGCATCTTATTTCCTTCTGCCAAGTCCAAGGGAGATGGCTCTCAGCAGAGATGCAGGAGGGAGGGCTGGGACACTGTGGCTTGAACTAAGGGGGGATTAGCTGCAGGAAGATGTTTGAGAGAGCCCCCAAATTCTCCCTCCTTACACTCTACACCTTCATTTCATGCACACTGGGTTTGCTACTTCACTATATTAACCAACTGAACGTGTTTTGGTGTTTTGATGTTTTGATGTCAGGCTGAGGGTCTGTAACCATTGTTTCTCCTGTAGACTCTGCACAGCCTTGAACAAGCTCTGAAAGTGAAAGTTTGAAAGCGAAAAGGAAGAAAATGACTCTTCAAAGCAACAAAGCCATTGTGAGAGATTATATAAAGCCTGCAGCCTGAGGCTCAGTGCAAACCCTGTCTCCTGTGATCTGGCTACAGCAGACAAGCTACATCCTGTTTTGAAGAGCACCAAGTGGAGTTATTGCAGCTCAGAGTTTGTTCAGGTATTCTCAACTCCCACAGCACCCCCCTAATTGCTCTTGATGCTGGCTTGCAAAGACAGCAGCAAGGGCTTATTAGGCCAGTGCTAATTAGGTTGCAGTGAGTTGATCTGTGCCCACACATGACAAGAATCAATCCATTTAATTACCTGGTTGCTTAATAAAAATTAAAAGCCTCATCTACCTACAGCCAGCATCTTCATTAAGGAAACACTGCAAGGTTCTCACCTACCATGTGCCAAGCTGCCTATGCACAGGTTTTGTCAAGATATTCACTTAAATTTGCTATGACACATATCAAAAGGACACATTCAATGCACCCTGTAAACAGGACATCACATCACAGAAATTCCAAAGCAAGCCAGGGCTTTCATAAACATTGGCCAACCTACCATCAGTGAAGTCCAAAGCGTACACTGGAAATCTTCGTGCAATGTCATCAGAAATCCCCTTGCCAACATGGAGAAACTCCTGCAGCTAAAGAAAGGAAGGAAGTGCTGGGTCAGTTTAAAGGCTCCATGTATTGTTGAAGGGATTAACCTCCTTATTCAATACTGATAGGAGCAAAACTGGTGGTTTTGAATAGGGCATTCAAATCGGACTTCGTAATGATAATAAAAATAAACTCTTCACACTTCAATTTATACCCTTCAAAAGCATTGTGAAAGAGAAAAAAAACCCCAGACCACCCTGTTTTCCTCCCTTCCTTCCCTCTTCCCCCCTCCCATTCATATCTGAATCCCTGCTTTGCAGATGCACAGTGTGGAAGTGACCTGCTGGAAACACCCTGGCCCAGAGCAGGATCAGCCCCTGGCGAGCTGAGTAATGCCTGGGTACTCATGGGATAAGGCATCAGGTCACAGATGATTTTGCCACCCTTCCAGCCAACATCTTTTAGATGCCACCATGAAAGCTCTTCCCCTTCACTCCATGTGAAGCTTCTGAAAAGGGATCCCCAGCAAAAACCTTTCCTTGGCATCCTACACCTCAAGTTCCATCCAAAAGTAACAAGCTAGAACAACTTCATATAACCAAACTGTCATTTCAGTCCATTAAAAGACAGTGACAAGGTTTTGAAAGGGTTCCAAAAACCCACCAACATTCCTTTTTCTTTCTGGTTTGGGGGCCTGCAAGGTGCAGTATGACAATTTATACAATCTGATGCTCACCACAGGCAATAAGGAGCTGTTCAGAAATATGTGACAGCTGCTACTGACTTCCAGCCTCCCAGTTCTCACAACTACATCCTTACAGAAAGCACATGGAAAGCATCAGAGTAGGTAACACTTGCAAATGAGGCACCTGTCAGATTTGTTCCTGTTATCCTCAACTCAGAGGAAGCACATACCGTTCTGAGAATCAAATGCACCTTCATAGGGTGCTAATTACCCCAGCAGTCTCATCTAAACAATTCCATGTTTGTTGCAAATCCACACAGAGACAACTTGCACTGCCAGGGAGTGTAAAGGGGGTGGTGCTGAGGGAATCACAGATCCAAAATTTACACTAACAGAGCATCTCAAAACAGCAGGGACATGGTTTTATGTGGAAACAGACAAACACTGCTTTACAAAGGGCTTGACACTACAGTGCTTGTTTAACAGAGTACACAGCTTTACCTTTACCTGTGGGACTCACCTGCCTTGCAGTGCTTGGAAGAGCAGAGCTATTAACAACACACAACAAGGAAAACTCTCCTGTAGAAGGAATTCACTGGACACAGTAAACACTTGGGTTTGAGGCACAATAGTCCACAGAGGACCAGCCCCTTTACCAGTCATTATCACTCGCTGCAGTAAATTCTGTTTCACTTTGCATTTTGCCAACATACCTGTGTTATTTCAGGACAGTTTCAACTCTCTAACCTGAACAACCAGGATGAAAAGACAGATGCCAGGATAACATCTGCATTTGAAGCATTTCCAGAAGAAAAGGATGAGCTTAAACCATATTTGGAGCCATATTTTGACATCAAAGCCATATATGCACTTGAAAAGCAATTTAGTCCCCCTACCCTCCACCCCTAGAAACACATTCCTGAAGGCACGAGTCAGCCAGAGAATCACAATAGCTTTAATGACTAATATGTTTACTTGCCTTGCTGCAGCGAATAGAGAGAATGATGCTCAGGGTATCTCATCTCCCAGGGAAGAAGCCACACACTTGCTGCTGGCCTGGGGCTGAGAGTGGGGTGGGGACAGCAGGGGCACTCATGCAGTGGTAAGTGTGAAGAAAAGCACTGCCCAACCTCTTAGGAGCTGGGGCTGTTCAGCCTGGAGAAGAAGAGGCTGAGGGGAAACCTCATTGCTCTCTACAACTGCCTGAAAGGAGGTTGTGGTGAGGTGCGTGATGGGCTCTTCTCCCCAGTGACCAGCAATAGGACAAGAGGAAAGGGGGTCCTGTCGTGCCAGGGAGGTTCAGATTGGATATTGGGAACAATTTCTTCACAGAAAGAGTGGTGAGGCATTGGAACAGGCTGCCCAGGGAGGTGGTGGAGGCACCATCCCTGGAGGTGTTAAAAAAATGGGTGGACGTGGTGCTGAGGGAGATGGTTTAGTGGTCATGGGGGTGTAGGGCTGACTGTTGATCTTGAAGGTCTTTTCCAACCTCAATGACTCTGTGATTCTTGGCCCACAAGGCACATTGAGGCAAATTTGAAAGAAGGGGAGGCAAGGGGTTATGTCTGACAGCCCCGATTCCTTCAGGCATTTATTTCTTGCATGTCTGGAAGTTTAGCCCAGGGTGGGGTCAGGGATGTCAGGTTAAATCTCATCAATGGCTACATAGGAGGAAAGCTGTTTCTTCTGGATGGTTAATCCTCCTCCTTTCCTCTCTGCCCCACTAACCTCATACTCAGGCTGCACTGAGGAGAGAAGAGATCAAACTTAGTGACCTCTGAAGTTACTGCCCTTTTGGGTTTTACTTTTACCCCCCAACCTAACCACCATGCATCTTCACCATCTCTCTCTGCTCCAGACATGTTGCAGCCTAGCTTTTACCTCCTGCCATCTTCTGATCTCACAACTCATGAGGTTTTAAAAAATCCTGGGAAGGACAATGCTAACACTTCATTCTTGCCCCTTTTTCATTTCCTTCCACAAACACTCTGGTGCTGGGAATTTCTTGGGCTGCCATTCCCTGCTTCTTTCTCCTCCGGTGGGTCAAGCTTGGCTGACCCATTGCCTTTCCACTCCTGCTCCTGGTGGCACCTCTCTCATGGCCCTGGCAACTTTTTGATTTAACATCCTGCCAACTAGGTGGCCTTATCCAGAAGGCCTTGCTTTCCCAGAGCTGTATCCTCCACCAAGCTCAAGGTCTATCAGTCTTCAGGAACCACAGCTCAAATACCCAGCAGCAAATCCTCCTTCAGTCTCCTATTCTTTTCTGCAGGTTCTTCCAGTGCTTTGCCCATGTTGCTTCTAATACATCATGGGGGAAAGATCAGCAAAAAGGAGCACACAAGAAGATCTTCAACATTGTTCATGAATTTTCTACTTTCCATTTTACAAATCCCCCCAAGTCTCTTGCCATAAACGGTTGTTATTTGGGTTGGGGGCTAAATCAGCACGATGAGTTACACAATCGAACAGAAAATACCTGCTCCAACAAAACAAATCCTTTCTCAATCCTCCCCTGAAGTACTGGGGGGGCTACACAGACCAGGGACACACACTGTCCTCCACCCTGCTCATGATGAGTTCACACAGCCCAGCCCTCTCAGCAAACCCACACAGCCAGAAAGCATCACAAGCCTTAGGGGCTCCTTCATCAGCAAAAACCATGATTAGATGCCTCAGTGACAAAGAGGATTTCAAGTTGACTTAATTGTGACTGAGTATGTAGCCTTGCCTAAATAATCCTCTGAGATGAGCCAAAGCAAACTGACTGGAGGCACAACATGGTGTGCAACTGTCAGCTCCCCTTTGGCATTTTAGCAGAGGTACAAATGAGCACTTGCAAAAATCCCACAGAGGACCTGAGGCCCATTTGTCCTCCACCAGTGCAGGACCAAGGGAAAAAGGGAGGTGGGTTTTTATGCTACCAGGGGACTTTCTCTTCCTGTCCCCTCCTTAGGGCTCAGTTGTAATAATACAGGGACTCCAGATTAGGGTGTTTAATTCACTGGGGGTGGTTGACAGGTTGAAATGACACCCCTGGTCTCACACTATTTTGTGCTCATCTTAAAGGCTTCTTTTCCAGAAGGCTATTGCACAGGTCAGCAGAGGGGGAGGATGGAGATGACTCTCACAGGAACAGAGGAACGCAGGCTGTGATCTCAAATCAACCTCACTTCTCCAGGCAAATCTCTGTTTGCCAGGAAAAGAACTCTCCATCCCAACTGTTAAGGTCTACTAAGGTGGGGTGGGGAACAGCTTCTTCCACAAGACATGAGAAAGAGTTACTACTACACAGGCTGTGACTCCTGAGAGACCAAGGATGGTCAACACCAAGAGCAAGCACTAAAGAAACAAGCATCACTATCTGCAGCACCAGCTCAGAGCTGTTCAAAGCCTGCCTGGCCAAGGCTGCTTGCCCAGAGGCAGGTAGGAACCACTCCTCAAGGTCAACACCTACAAACCCTATGTTGCACCCAGCCCTCCTGCTCACCAAACCACAGAGCAGAAACTCCTCTACAGGCATTTAAAAAGGACTAGTTTTCACAGAAGACAACCAGACACTTCACCCCAAAACTCCTTAGAAAGACCAAGTGCAAAGGGTTAAACCTCTTTTACCAAAATTACATGACTGCAACTACTCCAAATACCACCACTCTGAACGACCTAGGTTTAAAGAGGGTTTCAGGACTTGTTCTGCAAACTTCAGAGCAGGTATGGGGTCTAGGAAAGTTCAAAGCACTATCTATAAGCAAGGGGATTATGCAGGAAAAACATGAGCTTTGCTTATTTCCAGATGTGCAGATCAAAACCCCTTCAGTCTCTTCCAAGAAAAAAAGTGATAAGTCACCCAGCTTCTGCACTGGGAGCAACCCAAAGCTTTAAGGTTATTTGTAATTCAGAGACAGGAGCAGCAAGCTAGAGATGGCCCAGATTGTTGTGCAGGTATGCTGTCCAGTTAAAGAATGGATTTCTGAACGGAAAAGCAAAGTGATGACCAATACACAGGAAATTCCAGAAAAGAAAGCTGAGTTACAGCATTTCCCTCCAACTTGAAAGTACAAAGCAAGTAATGTTTCACAGAGCTACAGATCAAACAGTGAGAAGTCAGGCCAAACACTGACAGGCAACTTTTAAGTGATATTACCATGCAGGGATGGCCAAGTAGTCTTTTGGCTGCAGGGAAGACAAGCAGCAGCTTCCTTCAGAGACTTCTGATTGTAAGGATTAAGTACATTGGAGTGACAAGGCACAGTGATCCATTAATCCCATCCCTGACTAAGCATCTGGAAACAAAGTCCTGCAGCAATTTCAACATCCTAGTGCTCTGCATCCCTTCAGCACCTGCCTCTTTGAAGTGTTTGGGTTTTTTAGGTTCCCAGCAGGAGCTGAGGAAGGTGGACATCCACACAGCAGCCAGTGGTAGAAACCTCAGTGCTGAGAGCTTGCTAGGAGAGAGCCCAACGTTGCAAGCAGCACAAGAGCTTCACCTCTTTACCCAAACCCCCTTGCACTGATCCATCTGAAGACCACTGAAGCATGGTGGTGTTGGCTTGTCTTACCTGGAGTGGTTTAGGACTATTGGGCTTGTGCTCATCGCTCACGGTTGAGGGTCTCTGGTTCACCACTGTCAACAAGTGGCGTTGGTGAACTAAGGCTTCCTTGAACTCCTCTTCTGTTTTGGTTTCAAGGAGCTTCTGCCGAAAGTTTATGTCCGAAAACATTGTGGCAAAGGTCCTGCCCACTTCTGTGGCTGTCTTGGTGCTTTTCTGAGCAGGGAAAAAAACCAAACAAACATGAAAACTCACATAAAACTATTTTCTTTCACTTCTGAAAGGTAAAACCGCTGATTTACCCCCCTGAGCTCCATGTTAAGAGCAAACTGCCTGGCTTCTAAGACCTCAAATGGAGAAAAACACATGTGGAAATTGTTGCAGATGAATGCATCAACACCATCAGGATCCCCTGAAGGCATCAACATACAGGGCCTGACCAGAAGAACTGATCAGTCTTAATCAAATTCCCAGGACTGGATCCAAAGCTGAATCATGCTGAGAATGCATTTTATCCCTGGTAAGGCTGCTAACACTAAACAGTCTTTGCTATCCTACAGCATCTCAGCATTACTGCTAAGGGGGTAGAAAGACACTGTAGTCAAGGGTCCTGCAGGGAGAAATGTCTTGAAGTCTTTTCTGGAAGATTGAGATTATTATGCACAACTGCTTCATCAGCTTCCTATTTACCAGGCATCAAAACTCAATTCAGTTGGCCTCTCTGGGGCAGTCCTGGCAACACAAGTAGAGAGTTAGATCTCTCAGCTGAAGTAACTACAGGCACAGAGGAAAGCACAAGAAACCAGCAGCTGAACACACACACACACACAAGCAGCTGTGTCCATCTTCACCAAATGCCTGGAAGGGACAGGAAAGTCCCAAGTATATGAGAACAAGTGTCTATTTGCCAACGTTAACTTTTCTGTGAGCCACAGGCCTGATTTTTGAGGGTCCAACTTCAAGGGTGTCCAAGTTCACTTTCCTTCTGGCTCCAAACACCTCAGAAATAACATACAAAGGCAACAGTAAAGGAGATCGAGCTCCTCATCCCTGCACAAATCAACCAGACCCAAGCTCTGCAAATCCTGACCTGCTCACCTGCTTGTACCACCTTGGTCAGACTTGCCAAGGTAAAGTTCTGCAGAGTCATAGCTCATTTAGAACTCCTTTTGATGCAAAGTTTTTACCCCCCTGCCTTAGCTACACTCAACACTCACCTACTGGCTTCTCTGGTACCCAGAGTCACCAAACACTTCTCTTCATTGAGGTTCAATTTAAAATTATTGGTGGACACAATGTTTGTTATAAAGGCTAGGAGTGGTAGAATGAGGGTGTAATGGATTTAAAGTGGAACAGGGGAGGATTTAGGTTAGACATTAGGAAGAAATACTTTACTCTTAGAGTGTTGAGACACATGAATGGGTTTCCCTAGAGAAGCTGTGGCTGCCCCATCCCTGGCAGTGTTGAAGGGCAGGGTGGATGGGACCTGGAGCAACCTGGGCTGGTGGGAGGTGTCCCTGCCCATGCAGGGGGGCTGGAACTAGATGATCTTGAAGGTCCCTTCCAACACAAACCATTCCATGATCATATGCAGCAGCTGCTAGAGACACCCAAACAACCACCCTCCTTTGGGCAGCTTCCAGGCTCTTCTACATAACTGTGAAAAGTAGCAGTGAGCATATGTGATTGATCTGAGTTAATTCTCATGATTCATAACAAAGCAGATGAACAGCTTCTTCATGAACACAACCAAATAATTCAGTGCTGCTTGATGCAGAGGCGCAGACATGACCCAGAGTCATCACTCACACTGGCCTGCCTCTCCCTGTCCTCTGTCACCCCCTCTCCAACACAAATAATGCCCCTTCAGACATGCTTGCTAGGACATGTTCAATTTAAGTTTCCAGGGAAGGTGTTGGATTTAAGTGAAGGTAAATCTACTCCAGGAATTGCTTTTATGGTTTGCAAGCTTGGTGCTTTCAGATTGAACCAGCCTGGATTTGCCAGCACAGGGGAGGCTTCTCCTTTCACCTCTAAGAAGCAGCAGAGTCCTCGGGCTGGATGCTGCCAGGCGTTACTTCCAGCTGCCCAAAGCTGCTCCCTTTCTTTGCTTTCCCAGAGAGATGAACTGTTTAAAAAGAGTGCAAAGACTTGCAAGAGAACCTAAGTTTTTTCCACCCTACAGCACAACAGATGCCCATTTTCTGAGCTTTCCCTCCCTGCCCCCCAAGCAAGACTCATTGAATCCGTTACTGTCAGCAGGTTAATTATTTTAACTGCTGTACCAGAAATGCGTCCTTTGAGCTGGCTGGATCCACTCATTTAAAATAAAAAGCATATTGGCAACTGCAGCTCTGCTTGGCCTCCAGTCTGTTTCCTTAATTTGATGCTGTCCATTGGAATGGCAAACTTTCAGGATCCGAGCGGATGCAGAGCTGTTTGCTGGGTGCTTTGCACGTAGCTGGCTGGAGATAAGCAAATTGCCACACAATGAGGGAGAGATCAATGCAAAGGTGCACGGGTTCAGCTGTTTGGCCTGCTGCTTTTCATGAGGAGCATCAATATGTTTTCAGCCTGTTGGGTTGGAGAGCTATGCCAAAAAAGCGTTGAACTGCTCAGCTGGGAAAAGATCTGCCCGAAATGCTGGGAAATAAGGAAACACCAGTATTCCCATTTAAACAAGGGTGGTGGTGGAAGGGAGGAGGAGAAAGACCAGACCAGACTAGAAGGTCCCAAGGTCACACAGATCACATTGTAGAGCAGGAAACTGCATCAGGATATGTCCTGTTCCAGACAAGGTCCCCAACCTCTCCAGCACCTCCCTGAAGCACAGACCTATTAGCCTCGAGGTGCAAACAGCCAGTCTGAGTGTGAAAAGGTCCTGAGCTTTGAACTGTTCCACCATCAGCGAGAAAACACATCATCTTGATCAAGCCAGTGCTTTCTAGGAAGCCAGGACAGTGATCCCCAATTGACTTTGATGCCCCAGGATGATGTGGTTAAGGTATACTACTAGGTCATTTGTTGGCCTTGCCTACACCAAAGAACCAGTAAGTACACTTAAGCAAGCTTTAACCATGCTGCTTTGAGTGCCAAAAAACACACCCCAGAGGACCTCATCACAGTCTGACCTTACAAGCACCCTAGCTCCTACACAGTCTCATCCATACTGCCATAGAGCTCACACAATTACACCTTCCTCTTGGCTACATCTGTCCATCTACAGCTGCTGCAACCACATCTGCAGTGTGTCAGTCCCACCAAGAGAGTTTGCTGCGAGTCAACCCAGACCTCAGATCTCACCATTTTAAGAATGTTGTCATTGACCCCAGGAGGAGAAGAACAAGGAGAAGTGATCTTAGGAGAACCCACTGAAGCAGCCAAGTAAAAGAGAGAGTCATACTCACCATTTTAGGAGGAGCCAGGACTAAGATCACAAATCTCACTTCACAGGAGTTTTCACCCCAGTTCTGAGGCCTCTCCAGGCGGCTGATGCAAACGTGACGTCGCTGAAGGGTCTTTATAGTGCAACTGTGAAGGAAGGTAGCATTGTTACTGTGACACTTAGTGTGCAAGGCTTATCAGGACACAATTCAACTCAGAGAAATCAAAAATGTGGTGTGTTTTTTTTGGAGTGAAAGGCTCCCTTCTGAAGTTTTAAAGAGTGATTTTAAGTTGCCGTTAGCCCAATAGCGCTAACTCTTTTGGAGGATTGGACACCCATGTTTTTATGGGCAAGAACTGTCAAGATATCAAGGTGCATTGTCCCTCTTCCCCATCTGCTTTTTCATAGCCAAGACATCAGAATGCAGCTTACCTGCTACTTGCAGTGCTACAGAAGCTTTTACCAAAAAAAACCCTTAGGAAAAACTCAGCAGCCACATTACTGAAAAGCAGCTTGAACTTCTTTTCATTTCACCTGATCTTCCAAAGTACTTTTAGAAGCACTAGGCAAGATGCCAAACCAAGATATTTCCACTTCTTTGCAGTGGGCAGATGTCTCTCTGGTTGAATGACTTTTCCTATTTGCTCTCAGCTGGTATTTTTCCCCTGTCTGGTACAGGTGTGTGACAGAAACCAAGCTGACCTCCTTGCTCAAGATCTACAGAGGCTGCAGCAGGATGACTGCTCAGAGGGAAATCCTTGCCTGCAATCCAGCCAGCTCTTCTAGGCTTGTGATGGCTGTTTGACCCCTGTAACAAAGACTAGCAACACGTTGTTTGAAACAGAGATCAACTGTGGAAGCCACAGAAGACCAGGCCTGTCTCCACCCTGGGATATTTAACCAGAGCTGTGATCTGTGTAGCCACTCTTCCTGATGAGAAATTCTGACAAAGCAGCCAAGTGGCTTGGTGCATTTCCAGGAAAAGGTTAACAGCAGCCTGGACAGCAGCTCTCCTGTTCCCTTTAAAGCCACCTACTACTTCTCAACTCCTCTGAACAGCACTGATGAGATACAGAGGTTGTACCTACTGACACCAGAAGAAGTAGGGAAGTGTGTTTCCCTACCTCAGGGCAATTTATTTTTTTCTCTGATTCCAAGCCACTGGTTGCTTCCTTTTATTCATCTAACAAGAGTCTATCCCAGTCCTTCAATCATCTCTTTAAACATCTCTTCCATGATCCTTTCCCATTTCTTCCCTATTAACACGTATTCTTACACCCACATGCCCTGAAGATTGTTCCAGTAATGGCTTCTGAAGATCTTTGCTTGGAGATGTACTTAGTCAGGAGCATGTTCTATGCAGTTCTTCACTGGCAAACAAAATCACACCACCAAGTGTTTTCTTGTTGGGTTTGACTTCCTGATCACAGATGGGAAGCAGCCTATTTACACCAATTAAACTGACAAAGGCACATTGTCTGAGAGCAACCAAACGGCTTAATTAGAACAATACAGGTCACGAGGAAGATGACAGTATTTCATCTCTTTCCTAACTCCTCTCCACCACAGCCCCCTGTCCTTTTTCTACTTGAATCAGCTTTGGAAAGGAAAAAGACCAAGGCAGGTCCTAAAGTTAAGAGCACATCTTCTCTAAATTAAGACTGTAAGCTATCTTCCTAGCTAAACATACATGTTGGATCTCCAACGATCCTTGTTCTTCCCTCCCAAGGGGTCAAATGTGCCCAGACAACACTGGTTCTCCCAAGCAAACCCAAGCCCTCAGTAGCAATCCTGCTGTGGCTGGTCAGCATACAAGTCTCCTTGTGTTACAATAAAAAAAGCCAATAGAAAAGATACATGAACTCCAGGCTTTGTACTAACAGGAGGACCTTCAAGTGGTCCAACACATTCAGTTCTCTCCCCACCCACCTGAACTGGTCATCAGCATTGAATGGTTAATGCATTATTAGCAAAAATTGCCCTTATCTTGTGTTCCATTCTCAGAATTCTTGTCCCTCAGATGTTGAGCTCCACAGATGAGTTTGTTTTGAAAAGGAAGGCTTTCTGGGTATTTGAAACATCGTTTCTACTTCAGAGATGGCCAGAAGCAGGTATCAGATACCTATGGCTCACAGAGCTGTACTGACACTTTCCAGACATCATCCCTTTCCCACCAGGTCTATCAGGCAGTACCTGACCTAGCAAGAACTACTGAAGTACAAAGCATGACCAGAGAAGATCTATTACAGGGCAAGGGTTGATCACACCAGCACACACACCTGGTGCCTGAAGTGGGGGAGGACACCAAGGCATGCACATGAACAGCAGTTTATTGGTGTTGTGGAGGTACAAGTCACTAGCTACCTCTCAGCTGTGCTGCTCAGCAGTACCTGCTTGCCTGCTCCAATCCCCAATCCAAGAACTGGAACCTCATAAAAACCTCAGGACTTCAGCTTGTTCCTACCTGAGGCAGGAAAGCCACCATGCAGGAGCCTTGCTCCCCTGGCTACAAGATGTGAAGTCATGCTGCAATATAGCAAATTATTGAAAAAAAACTATTCTATAGTATAATAACTAAGCAAGCCACAGGTTCTCCTGCAGCTAGCCTTCTCCCTGCAATCACAGGGTTATGTTCCAGCTCCAGTAGCTTGCTTCCAAGGCCACATGTTCCAGAGATGACAGTCCTGCCAACAGTGCCAGTCCACAGGAGTACAGCAGCACCTCAGCTCATGAGCTTACTGGGTACAGAGGAGAAACTTGACTCTAAGAGGCTGCTGTTCACTACTGGATCACTTTCACATGTAAGATAATTTTTCTGGCAGCCACACCAAGACCTTGTGTTTCTCTAAATCAGGAGTCCACCATTTCCTTACCCCGGGGGGCTGGTAAAGTGTGCAACAAGAGGATCACAGAACTACATAATTGTCAGGATTGGAAGGGACTTCTAGAGATCATCTAGTCCAACTCCCCCACTAAAGCAGGATGGACTGGAACACATTTCACAGGACTTCATCCAGGCAGGCTTTGAATGTCTCCAGAGAAGGAGACCCCACAACCCCTCCTGGTAACCTGTTCCAGGGCTCTGTCACCCTCACTGTAAACAATTTTTTCCTCATATTTCAGGCAGAACTGGAAGATTTAGGAACACTGAGCACATTCACAAGACACCAATAAACCCATTGGCACCCTCACCCATTTTTATCTGAAGTTGTTTTATCCTCAGTTTGAGACTCTTCACACCTGAGACAATTTCTTCCAACGCTTCTGTAAAAACCTCTACTGACACAGATGTTTATCTGAATCTCAGTATCACACCAGAAAAAGTGAAATGAGGAATTTTCAGCTTAGTTTAGGTCAATGTATGGACACAATTTAAGTCAGTAAGACAGGCTGAGTTGGTTTAGAGAGGGTAAACCAGAGTAAAACCAGATTTAAAGAGGTGCCAGAGATGGTCTGATGCACCTGAGGGGAGAAACACTGCCTTGTGCAGCCTCATCTGCCCTGAGCCTGGTCTTGCTATGTTATAGCTCTTTGGGAAGAAAAAAAACCCCAAATGTGGTGTCTCAGTAATATTACTACAAGGCCAAACCACTTTTGCCAATTGATCATTCAGCATCTCCAACTTTTCTTTTAATTTAAGCCATTATTTAGCTGACTCAAATCCTGCTCTCTAGTGTAGCACTCACAGCTCCCACTTGTGTTTTAATTCCAGAATCTAGCTACAAATATAATACAAACCAAAACTGCAGACCCTACTAGACCAGGGTAAATATTTGTAAAGGACACAAGTTATTTGGTTCACATGGAGAAATCTCAAGTTATGCAAGACTGCAGGTAAAACTCAGCACAGTTCAGAAGAGAGCCACTTCCAAAATGAAGCAATTTCTTTCAAGTAGCACTTTAAAATATTCCCACTAAGAAAAAAAACCACTGAAGGGTAAATAGCCAAAGCCCAACAAAACCTAAGAACTAGCAAGACAGTTTCAGCTGACTCTAAATCAAGTCTGGTTTGGCCAAAGCTTTCAAGTTCTCTTTTGGTTTGGGTTGAGCTAAATTTGATTCTCCTTTGGTTTGGTCAACAAGCTGAAAGAATCTATTTTCACCCAGAATTAGTCACACAAGGCAACACTGGGCTAGGATTTAATGAGATGCCAGGTTGCGTTCTCAGCAATTTTATCTTGATCCTCCAAAAGAATTGAGCTCATAAAAAGAGCATTTAAATTATAGCACACATTCCTGCCTGGCTGTCCCTCCTCTCTTCCCAGGCTGTGTATCTAGTGGGGCTGAGCGTGGCACTGGGATGGTGAGAACTGGCAAGGAGCCACCAAACCCAGGCTACAGGGAGTCACACACACGCCCAAGATGTTATCAGAGTAATAACACATTTCCCAAACAAATCATCAAAAGGGTCAAACTATGGAGACCCAAGAGAAACACAAACCCTCTTTAAACAGGGCAAGAAAGGAAGTTAATTCAGAAACAAATTATCCCCTGCAGTAAGAAAAAGTGCCCAGCAGAGGTAATCAGCTAGCCAGCCTTTTCCTGTCCTGATGCAAAGCAACAATGACACTTCTTGTTCTCATCCACTGCAAATAAATCTTCCTCTGTAGAGCAGCTCCAGGCTCAAGCTTTCAGAAACCAGAATTTGCAAGAGAGGAATGAAGCTGGTGACCAGTGAGCCAGCTCACCCACAGCTTGGCACTGGGTTGTTTCAGCAACCAAGCAGCTCCAAGCAGGATATCATTGTGGACTGGTGAATGCACTTTGCTGGGCTCCAGAAAGAACCATCCTCTCCAGCAGTTCATCAATCACCAGGTCAATGCAGGAGGAGACATCTTCTCTTCCCCGTCCACATGCTGCAGGCACTGAAACAAGTTAGCCTTCTTTCTGAGAGATCATCTTTGGGACCCTAATTCCTAATGGAAGGGTTTGAATTTGAGAACTCCTTTTTGTAACACAGCACCTGCAAGAGCTTCAGCCCTCCAGCACTACCTGGGACAGCCCAACAAGGCTGGATAGGCACTTAAAGGAAAATTAATCAGTTCTTTGAACCCAAAGAGCACTAGAGAGAGGATGGGTTTAAATGCTACAGAAGAGGCTTCTTGTTTACAAGACTCCAAATATTGTAATCATTCCTCTGAAGGATAATATTTGTTTTAAACACTGTTAAATTAAACTGTTTAATTTCAGAGCATCCTATTTAGCTCTTTGGAAGAAGGGGCACTATTCTGAGGAATAAACAGTAACTGAATCATCCCTATTTGAAATCTATTCAACAGCTAAATCAGAAGCAACGTGGTCTTTCTACAGACACACAAACCTCTGGGTCTGAGCAGATCCTTACTCACATGAAATAGCTTTTGAGTTACTTTTGCTAAGAGGTCCATCAGTAACATGTTTCATAAACCCATCATTTATACATTAAAACTGGGAAGTTCCTACTCTTCAACTTGACTCTATTTGAACAGTAATCCTGCTTGATATCCAAAACAACCTCACAATGCCTGGCTGTGAAGGGCTACTTGGGTTTTTCTGAGTTAAACTCCACCACAGACACCACTGCAGTGACGTGCTGTATCAGAGTAAGCAATTTTAGAGCAACACAGAGCACACAAACCACTCTTTGCTTGCAGAGAGGTTTTTTTTTTCCCTCTGCTTTGCCTCTTAAAACAGCTTTAGCTAATCAGTTGAATGCACTGAAAAGAAGTCCTTCACCAATCCATGTGCCTCACCAATGCAGCCAAAGGAAACTGCTCTTCAACTGCCCAATCCACACTACAAAGCAGCTTGGTTTCATGCTTTCCTAAGGATTCAGCTTTGGATAAAAGCAGCAGTATCTGTCACCTGGCAAGAAGAATATAGCCTGGAAGTTGTGATGCCTGGGGAACTCCACACAGTTCAGGGGTTCAGTAGCCCACACAGCTGGTTCTTCTCTTAGGAGAACAGGAAGGAGAGAGATCCACCAGCAGTCATGGTTACTTGAACACTCCTAGCATTAGGGATCCTTTACTCCATGGAAAAAGAATAAAATAAAATAAAAAAGGCATTTGCATCTCTATTTGTATGACAGCAAAAAAATTGGGTGTGGTAGGACTTGAATTGTGATGACAGCCACTTCTTATACTCTCCACTGGATAAGGGTGCCCTTCCTCAGGCTTTTTGAGCCACAAAGTTGTGCAACACCACAACAAATAGCTCTCACAAGGGCTTCTTCCTCACCTTTCCTGATCCAGACAGGTAAAGCATCCAGTTTACTCCTCCAGGCTCTGGGTCCTGGTGGACCTGGGTAGTTCATGGGGAACTGCAGGCACCCTCCTGGCAGCACATACAACTGCTGCAGTCATTGCATGCTGGAGGGGGACCGACGTACCTCCCTAAGCTTCTACTACCAGCCAAGCTTCCTCATGCTAAATAACTAATTAATTATGAGGATAAGAATTCAGCACTCCCAGCACTCCCTGTTCTGGGACAGGCCTGTTTATCCCTCATCCCAAGCTCTCTAATGAAACAATCAACCAGCAGCTTCATAGTGAAGCAGCAAAAGATCTCCACATCAGTTTGTGCCTTGCTGTTCTGGCAAATGCTACAAATGGAAGAAAGAAAGAGTTGTGTCCATGGCTTCCAAGGCAGGAGATTGTGTCCTTGACTGATTAAGGTAACTCTGAACATTTGCTTTTAGTTGGAAAACCATCATGTACACAAAGATCGAGCAACATTCATTATTCTAGAGCTGAAGACCTGGTTAGTGCACTATTGTCCTGCTACCAACTACACAGTTTTCATGAAGCAATCTCAGGGTTTCCATAAGCTTATGTACCCTGATATGGCTTCAGGAAGATCAGGTTTTGTTATTCTTGACCAAAAAGCCCTAAAGCCTATAGTGAATCAGAAGCCAGTTGTCCTGCACTTCAGTGGAACATTCAAACCCTGAGATTTTCAATCCCCCAACGGTTTGTACTGTCACATAGCTATAAGCCCAGATGCACTGGGTACATCTTACCTTGCTGGCTCTTCAACAGGCCTGAAACTGGCAGGAAAGCACCAATTCCAGCAGAAGCAGAATACCTATTTCACCCTAGGTATTCCCCAGCATGGATGAGTCAAATAAGAAAGAACAGCCCTTTCTCCAGCACAGAAGAGAGAGGGAACCAAACTTCTGTGTCCATTAGAAACGCTCTCCTACAACCAGGCTGTGCCCAACTCTGAAAATCCTACCCAACTTTTTCCTTCCTGATTCTACACTAATTTGGGCTTTGATATTTTTTCCCCTTGAAATCCAAGCAGAAGCAGCAAGACCAAAGCTGTGTATCTGAGCTGCTCTTCCTTCTCAGTCCTACCATGATTCTCAGGCTTATCACATCCACAAGGAATAAGAAGTTAGTTGAGGTGCACAGAAAACAGCAGTGCTAATTTCCAATTTAGCCAAGAGGCTACATTAAGTGCAAGGATAAAGAACAACAGATACCTTAAAGGTTCTTCCCGCTCACAGGGAAAATGTTTTTCATCAACAAATTCCTTTTACTTCAGAGTTTTGGAAGTTGTTTTGCAATCTGACTTGAAAAATGTAAGATCTAAAAATATGGCTCACAATCTGTTGCACAAGAGATACAGCAGAAATACAGTGCAACAATTAGATAATTATAGTTAATAACTCATCACTGCTTTCCCACCACTTTCTTCTCCCTCTTCAGAGCAACAAAAGGAAGAAACAAGGAAAGTTTTGCTCAAGACACCTTCAGGCTGTAAGCTTATTTTTCAAATCCTGGCTTGCCATGGAAGCTAGTATTACTCAGATGGATGCATTTAAAGCTTTGGCTCCCCTTCTACAGAAAGGCTGAACCTTCCCTTTTCAGCTTGGTGTGTATAATCACAGCAGTTGTATCATAACCTCTGGAATTACTTTGTTATGAAGTCAACACTCCCCAAAGCCCTCCAAAGAGCCGTGTCACGTGCCATGGGAGAAACTTCCACTCTCTACCCTTCCTAGAGCAGGATGTACATAACCTTATTCCTGTTGCTCTACCTGTGGCATCCAAAGCTACTAAACTGCTCAAAAGCACCTTAAATCAGTACAGAAAGACTATTTTATTGTATGAACTCATTTTCTTCTTTCTGCAAGCTGCTCTGTGCATGCCTGATATAAGGGTAGGACTGACAGAAGCACATACAGCACAGACATTACCCAGTTCACTTATTTCAGAGCCCTGACATGCAGTAGTTTCCTTCCTACAGGAGAGATCACATCTTTCTCTTTCACAAGAGATTAAAACAGGCGTGAGGTTTGTTGTTTGTTGGTGCTTCATTTCTTTGTGGGTTTGGGGTTTTTTTGGGTTTCTTTGTTTTTAAACATCTATTTCCATGGCAGAATACTCTACATTTTTTCCAGCCATAAGCAGCAAGTAGGAGAAGAACTGCTAGTAAAAGGAAAGCTGTTGTGACAGTTGTCCTAGCAAACTGGCTGTGAAGGCTGAAATATGTTCATGCATTCCCCAAACCTTTAGGCTCCTATCCAGCCTATCCTGGTAATTTATCTGGGAATTAACATATTGCTTGACAACTTGACTTAAGAGACTACATATGCATAAAGCAACAGACAGGAGTCAGATGCCATTGCTTTAGTTGGCTTGGTGACTCAGGCTCTGGCCTTGAAAGGTCAGTTTGGCTCAGCCAACATGCCTGACTTTGAGACAGCAACTTCAAACCTCAATTTTGGTCAAGTGGAAGCTGGGGTGAAGCCACCATGTCTCATAAATCCCAGGTGACAGAGTCCTTACTGTCTTAAGGGCCGGCTCCAACATTTAACAGTGTTGACAATCAAGCAGTGTCTGAGTTAATTGTCAGACAAAGCCATCCGTGTGTAAATACTGTCAGAATTTCTGACTTCAATTTTCAGTTACAAAGTTTAGATGTTTTCATCAAAGAACCCAAGAACTCTTTTGGTACAAGTTCCCAGACTTTGGCAGGCAAAGCAGTCCATGAACCAGTTTGCTTGTCCCTTTCAGAAGTTCCTCTCATTAACATTTCTCAGCAATTAGTACTTTCTGGCTCAGATTTTTCAGCTTTTTAGCTTGTTAACACCAGATTTTGAGAGCATCCAAGAGCTTAATGCCCTGTAGGGCTTGTGAACATCTCTGCCCAGGCTACTGCTGGCCCATTTGCACAAAGCAACAGCTCAATGCTGAGACTGAGATCCCACAGGCCAGGATGGATGGAGAGGGCATCACCATCTTGATTTACAAGGGCACATTCTGAACTGCAGTTTCTCCCAGAAGCAGGAAAAGCTACAAGCACTGAGCAGCAGTGGATTCTGCTCAACTACCCCAGGTACTTACATGATACAGAGCCAGGACTGCTGATACTGCACCCCTGTGACTGTTGCTGTGACCCCTTGAATTGTGTCTGATAAGAGGTGAACTAGGAAGAGAAGAGAGGGAATCGTTACAGGCTGCCCGGGTTTGGTTTACAACTACAAACAACATTTCCTTTCAAATGGAAGCTGAGTACTAATAACAAGCATACTTATTTATCTGCATGGTGGATTGATGCAAGGGAGGGGGCTGACAGGAGAAAGAGATGGAAACACTTATCCTGACATTTTGAATTCTGTGCTTATACTATTCTCAGCTTGAAAAGGCAACTGTTTTCTCCTCCCAGCATCAACCTACTGCAATATTAGGTTATTAGATTAGCATTATTCAGCACAGACAGAGAGGAGTGGAAGAGGTGTCATCTTCTGACTCCCCTGCTCTCTCCTCCCCTCTTCCTAATTACTATTCTCAGATTATTTCATGGCACTGCTTTTCTTTATTGGCAGAAAGCCTAAAGACATTACTATCGCCAAGCTCTACGACAGGTAGCAAGAAGAAACCAAAGCATGAACATGCTTACTACATGCTCAGGACTTGACAAATCTGTTAAACAAATTCACTCAGGCTGTGACAGTTACATTTGAGGTGCGATGTACATGTTTGTATATTCATTCCTGTTGACTCTGAAACATCAGGGGTGCCTACAGAGAAACAACGCTCAGTTAAGCTTCTTTACATCTTAGGCTAAAACGTAGTGTCTCAGACTATGCTATGACATTTGCTGATAGCTTAAGGTGGCATGTGAGCCAACAGTTTTGTTTCTGGAGAAGAAAGTGGCTCTCATCCCTTCCAACAGGCTGGGAGCAACGTGAAGGCTCAGCCCTCCCCAACCAATTACTCGTGCAAGGCAGTGAGAACCCCCAGCCTGTGTGAATTCACATGGAGAATCACAAGGCAAAGAAGCCACTTCTGAAGAGACACTGGCAAGTAGCTCTTGGCTGAAGAGCATCAGACTTGTCTGACCACAAGCAAATCTAATGGGTCCAAAAAGACACGACACTCCAGTGCCATTGACTTCTCACCCCAGAGAAGACCATATGTCATCTTAAGGAAACAGGGGCAAGACTCCAACAAAACATAAAATCCCTGGAGATACAAGACCCTTCAGTCTGAGCAACATGGAAAAATAAACCCCCAGTGTCACATGCAACATGCAAGTCTGGAGTCTACAAAGCAGTGAGTGTTCAACACCCCACCAGTAGAAAGGATGACAACTTAATAGTAACCTGCAGGCAAATGCAAATCAAGAGTTGATTACCATTCCCTTCTCGTGGGGTCCCTGAATCCGTGAATAAAGTGCTCATGATTTTTTCAAAGTTGCAGCTCGGCTCCGCGTTCTCTGGATCTTCAGCAAAGTGTTTCAGCATCTCCCGCAGAACATCATCCAAGGAGGTGGCTGTTTCATCAAGGATGATACTGGCTCTGGCCAGGAACCCATCCAGGTCCCGGTGAGCTCTGACTTCCTCCTCAAAGTTCTTTAATTTCAGGTACTGTGTGAAGAAGAGGTCATTGTTAGGAACCTGCACAAAACACCCAGCAGCAAAGCTTTTGTGTCGTTCAGTTTTTTTCAAGTTCCTGCCACTAAACCAACAATTCTGGAATCACTTAGACCCTTCAGATCACATTACAGAATAAAAGGAAGTTTATATTATATTATTAATGCACTGAAGGCCTGTAATTTCAAGTCTCATCCTAACAGAGTCACCACAGGTGAATGCCTAGGCACCATTTATACCCTGACAGAGGAAGAATTAAGTAAAAATTAGCTTTGCTGTCTAAAGCACAGAAGTAAGGTTAAAAGCAAAAATGCTTAAGTAGCATTTAAAATTCTCTTTAGGTTTAAATAATTCAAGAAGTTCTCAGCAACATGGGAAGAGTTATTTGGAAGAAATGGACTCTGAGCTCAGCAGCATAAAAAATTACTAGTATGCATCTCAGTGCAATCTAACCCAGTTTGTCTCAAACTGGGAACCACCTTTACCTGAGCCTTCCAGCTGGGAAGCCTGAAGTGGGAGATGGGAAATGCCATCCAGTTCATCAGCTTTTTTGATACTTTTGATACTTCCTTAATTTTTATTGTTCCCACTCCCAAGGAAGTTTTCTTCCTTTGTGCATAACATCTAGTTTTTAATCAATTAAAAAGAAAAAGGAGGCAGCAGACAGAGAGAAACTGATCTTGTGCCAACTCTCTGCTGGTTCCTTCTGCTGTCCCAGACTTGTTGGCCTTGAGATAGAAGAAACAGCCACTTTGTATTGCAGAACCTCAACTCCTTCTGTGGTTGTCAGCTGTGAAGTTTCTTCATTGAATGATCCAACTACAAATGTGTCACTCCCACTCTGCAGACCTTGGAAGCCCCTCCCCAGTCAGCACTCACAGTACTTGGTCAAGAACTGACAGTCCCATCCTCTCACTCAGCAGCTTAAGATGAGTGAGGAAATGGGAACTGCACTTTGTTATATGGATCTTCCTTCCGATGGGAAACCAGCCAGGCTTGAATTCATGACGTTGAGGACCAGATTGTCAAGAGACATTTAAACCCTTAAGCTCAGTAAGACTTGAGCTCCCGAGTTTGCTTTGACAAATCTGACACCAAATTGCCTCCCCAGCCAGAACTTGGGCACATTCTCCCCCAGGTTACAGGAGCACCCCAGAGCCTGACTCATGGATCCCCCCCTCACACACATACTCTCTCTACCTTTTCCATTTATAGCCTAGACACAAGGATGAAAAAAAATGCTAATATCTCACTAATTGCTGTAATTATCACAGCAACTATCAAGTTGTCAGTACACATCCACTGCAATTAGCACTGTTTTACTTTGCATCAATCACTTCTTACACAGCACCCTCAGAGGGAGGATTCTCTGAAGGATTTCAGCTCCCACCCCCAAGGCTTTGTTACCATCTGCTCTTAGGAAAGCAGAGAGTGACACAGCTATGCTACAACTCCACCTAAGAGAGACCATATAACTGCAAGTAGCCAAGTCAGTCTCAAATTATCCCTGTGTGAGAGCAGGTAAAATCACCCATCACCATCTCTAACACTGGTGTTCATGGGGTCACCATACGACCAGCAGCCACCTCCCTAAGGTAGCTAATTTCTGCAGAGTCCACCCTAGGATGTAGGTTCATTCAGGAAAGAGGCCAAATGACTTAGGATTTAATACTGTGGATGCCAGAGGAGGTACCCATAGAGGCAAGAGCAAGGTCAAGAGATTCAGGAGTGCCACAGTGCTGAAGAGCTTTTAAAAAAACCAAGAGTAGCTTTGTCACCAGCTTCCCCCATGCATGAGAGAAGCCAACAGAAGCAGAGCAATGGAAGAAGTTGAGGGATAGCAGAAATGAAACAAAGGCATTCAGAAGACACCTATTATCTGCCCCCATCATCTCAATCCACACTGAACCTTCAGTGAGCTGCACACGACAGCATCACTGCTTGCTGTGGCAGGACAGCACTGTCAGCAGCTCACTCAAAGTCTCAAGGATTCAGCTCTAGCTCTGCCACGAGCTCCAGGCAACATCTTGGGTAAATAACTTCCCATGCCCCAGTTCAATTTTATTCTCCTGGTCCTTTAGAGGAAACAGGGGCAATACTCATCCTCATTAGCACTCTCATAACACTGGGGAAGATGTGCACATCCAGCATGGCAAGGCAACCAGCCACCAGGAAAGGATGGAAACACATCATTCCCTAAGAGAAGCCAAAGTCAAACCAGTGGAAGCATTGGTACAGCAATGCCTCAATGATAGCTCACATGGAAATGTTCCAGTCAGGACATCCAGTGGTTTCAGGAGAGATTAATGATTGCCCTTTCACAAGTATTTTTAGCTAGATAGTGAAGTCCCACCAGGATACTTGATGCTGGAAACCTGATGCTGGAAACTGCTTAGCAAGAAACCCAAGACAACCACCCAATAACCACTGAACAGTGTTGAGTATCCTAGATGGCAATAGCAAGAAACCCAAGACAACCACCCAATAACTACTGAACAGTGTTGAGTATCCTAGATGGCTGCACATTGCATAGTGGCAAGAACAGAGGCTGCTGTTCCAAAGAGGAAACGTTCAAACAGCTTCTCCCAGCTTCAGGCAGGTCTTCTGGCCAAAGTCACACAGTCTATCTGTGCAAAAAAGAGCTCTCAACACTTAGGAAGAAGGCCCAAAATACAAGTTCTTTGCTGGGTGGCTGCTCTGGAGACCACCTGCACTTGCAGATGCTGCAAGAACCTTACAGGAAGGGCTATCTCAAAGCATGTTCTTCTGAGCAGAGGTTTACCTGTGCTTTTGGCATAGTCACTTGGGCCAATTCCCTCAGAAGCACACAGTGATTGTCATTAAATAATTTAAACGACACCAAGGAGTTTCTCCTTTTTTATGCCTACCAAGTGCCATGTCAGATAGTGCCATGTTCCCTGAGACAGACTACCTTTCCAGCACTCCTGAAGGAGCAGAGATAGGGACAACCTAGCAGGGAAACATCTCCAGATAAAGCCTCTGACCTGACCAATTTTCTGCTAGCAATTCCCTCTTCCCAGACAAATGGAGCCATCTCATCCGTGACTCAGGTCCCAATTTCCTTTGCCTTCAAAGCACAACATTTCCAGTTGTTCTCCCTGGAGGCAAAAACTGGCAATAGTATCTTTCTCAAGCCCTGCTAAAGCATGTTAGGTCTCCAGTATTTGTTGCTCAACAGCACACTGAAATACTCAAGCATGAACTGTAGGTCAGAAAAGCAGAAATTCTTCATTTCTGAAAAGGAAAACAAAACAGAAGAGACACTTCTGTGTTTGCAGCTTCCAACTGCTTCTTATCAGAAGCAGATCCTCTTTTTGGGCTTAGAACTTGCACTTTAAGTGATTAAGTTCTTAGGTTACTTTCAGTCAAGTGCATCCAATGTAAGACAACCTTGGGCACTAGTATTGGACAAGAGAAATTGCAGAATCAAAGACTAGTCGAGGCTGGAAGGGATCTAGAGATCATCTAGTCCAGCTCCCCTGCTAAAGCAGGATCCCCTAGAGCACATTACCCAGGGCTGCATCCAGGGGGGTCTTGAACATCTCCAGAGAAGGAGACTCCACACCCTCCCTGGGCAGCCTGTCCCAGGGCTCTCTCACCCTCACTCTCAAGTTTTCCCTCATATTTCAGTGGCACTTCCCCATGTTCCAGCTTGTGCCCGTTGCCCCTCATCCTGTCCCTGGGCACTGCTGAGCAGAGTCTGGCTCCATCCTCCTGCACCCCCCCTGAAATACCTGTAGGCACTGATAAGGTCTGTCCTCAGCCTTCTCTTCTCCAGGCTGAACAGCCTCAGGTCCCCCAGCCTTTCCTCATCAGGGAGATGCTCCAATCCCCCAGTCAGCTTTGTTGTCCTCCCTGGTCTTGCTCCATCAGTTCCTGTCTCTCTTGAACTGGGGAGCCACACTTTTCCTTATGCACCCCAGGATTCCATTTGCCCTCTTGGCACCAGGGCACACTGCTCATGGATCATTTACTGTCCACCAGGACTCCCAGATCCTTCCCCTCAGAACTGCTTTCCAGAAGGTCCACCCCTAATCTATACTGGTGCCTGGAGTTCTTCCTTCCCAGGTGCAGGACCTTACATTTGTCCTTGTTGACAGGGCAATTCCAATCCTGAGCACAGAATAGCTTATTTTAACCTCTCTGACTTCATATCAAGCAATGCTTGAGGGTTTTTTTGGTGGGGGGGTTTGTTTTGGTGGGGTGTTGGTTGTTTTTTGATTTTCAACTTGGGGAAGGGTTGCTTCTACTAAAGTTATGGCACATTTTCCTCCTGCTATTAACCCAGCCTGCTGAAATACCTTTTCAGGCTTTGAGTTTCCTTAGAGGCCTGAAGCAAGGCAGAGTTAAAGACCCCTCTGGGCTTCACTAAAAAGCCCACAAGAACCCAACTTAAAACCTTCAACAGCACCTGCACTATTTGATTCACCAGCACCAGCAGTGCTACAGGTTTTCACACATCCAGCCAGCCCCTCCAACCAGTAGATAAGATGAGTCTTAAAGCACCATGAGCCATAACTTACAGTCCCAAAGCCTAAGACTCCATCTGGTACTAAATATCAACCCATTTCCTCTCTGCATATTTTCTGTGTACTTGCATGGTTTGTAGTAACACAGCCTACATTATCATCATTATTAATATCACATTTCCACCTTATAATTATTGAGTTACAGTCTCAATAGCAAGTGTAAACTAAGTGTTGTTTCCCAGGCATCCTCCTAAGACTGTGTGTTTGCAGGGAATTCACTCCTGCTG